TTAAGAGTCTCTGCTAGAAAAGGGACTCAATTTACAATATAAATATGAGATAGCCGTTTATTTCCTCCACTACAGAAAATGCTTAAGGCACAAAGGAGCTCATGTGCACATATTAACAATTGTTGTTGTTCAGGTGACCCCATTTGGGGTTTTCTTGGCAGAGATACTGAAGTGGTTTGTCATTTCCTTCTCCAGCTCATTTCACAGATAAAGAAACTGAGGGAAACAGGGTTAAATGACTTGCTCAGGGTCATACAGCTGGTAGTAAGTGTCTGGGGCTGGATTTGAGCTTGGAAAGATGAGTGTTCCTGACTCAAGGCAGGTACTCTATGCCACCTAGATGCCCAAGATATTAACAAATACAAAAACAAAAAATAAGTCATAAAATACCCTCACTATCCCAAGAGGTAAAAAACAATTTCATTGTACTCCCAAAAAAAGTCAGGACTATTTCACATTCACCTCACATCTGCATTATCCGAGGAAGTCACAAGATAACAGATTCTCCTGGTCAGTAAGGCATGGTTCTTGAATCTCACAGGTTTTAGGGTGATCCCTTCTAAGGTCATTTCTTTCTTTGAGAAGAATGCCAATACAGGAACCACCTTCTACTGGGCAGTTAACATCCAACTCCAGCTGCCAAGGCTGGAAATCTCCATTTCTCAAAATTGCTGTTCATTGACCTGTGGTCAAGGAGGGAAACAATTGCAGATGAAGCAAATGGCCTAGGACTCAGAAATATCTGGGCAAGCACATGTTCTCACTGCCCTGGTGTTTGGGGTCACCAGTGTTACAAAGAGAAATCTCTTCCCTCTTCCCTATGCTAGAATTCCAAGGGATAGAAAACACTGGGTGCATCCCAAATGGGGATATGTTTTTTTTTTCTCCCCAGCTTTTTTTATAGTCCATGGAAGGGGCAGCTCCTTTTAACTCATCTTTGGCACAATCCATCAGTTATAGGGACCAATGAGGTGTTACTACATCATTTTAACATGGTCCATGTTCTTCAGCAAGGGAAGAAAGCACATACCCATCTTCCTGGCCCTAGACCAGGAAATCAGAGGTTCCCTTGACCTCTTCCTGCTATAATCTAACGATCCTAAGCTTTTCACTGAAATAAAGGCTCATCTTTTCATCACAATATTCTTCTAGTGATGCCATATGGTTATGAGTCATGGAAAATTACAATCCTTTATAAAATTGAAGTTGGGGTTCACCCAAAGGGTAATGGAAAAGCATATGGTGGGGTGTGAGCAAGCTGTAACATTGCAAATAAGGATTTGTGCAGAAATGGTGGCAAAAGAAATATCATCAGAGAAAGGTATGACCATAAAAAAAAGATGAGCTAGTCATAGAGGCAGCTAGGTGGTACAGTGGATAGAATGCCAGACTTGTAGTCAAGAAAACCTGAGTTCAGATTCCAGCTTCAGATACTTTTTAACTGTGAGACCTTGGGCAAGTGAAATGACTTCTGTCTGCCTCAGTTTCTTCAGTATCTGTACAAAAGGGATAATAATAGACCTTTCCTCTGAGGGCTGTTGTGAAAATCAAATAAGATAATATTTGCAAAGTGCTTTTGCAAATCTTAAAGCCCTATATAAATGCTAGCTATTATTACATGGCAAAGTAGAGGGATAACTGATGACTACAAACTTCACTGGATCCAGAGCATATCGAAAGAGTTAGAGAAAGGCCCTCAGCACATCGTGGATTTAGGAGAGGGTATAGATAAGAGTTTCCAGAATGACCAGGCATGGAGGCATTGTAATCAAACTATCAAAGTTAACAGTCCTTATTATACTCTGGTTTCATCTATATGGGCATTCCCTCCACTATCAAAGATTGTAATCCTTCCCTACTTTAATAGATGTTCTTCATGTTGGTGGCCTAACATTCAGGTAGTAAGAATCATTATTATAAGACAAAGAAAATAAATAATTTTCAAAATGTTAATGGAAGAAAGAAATTCTTGCATTTATGTAAGGTGAATTTTAGTGCGTGTAAGGAGGATTTTGTTAATTCTTTTTAGATAATTGTTCCAAGATCCTAGATAATATTTCCCACAAATAAGGGTTGAAAACATCTCCACCACACTTGTGTGGTGACATACAGAGATGACATAACGTATGCCTGTGCTCTGCTAGGTCATGACGATACTGCTAAAGTTAACCTGTGAGCTTAATTTTGGCAAGACACCTTCTTTGTCTGTTGCCCTATAACGTAAGTGGACACTGGTCAGTAAGTGGGGAACCCATTTTGGGATTTGGGTAATGCATAGAGGAATGCATGTACCTGCCTTGATCGGCTCCCACCAAGGCCTGAGGGGATGTAGGGGAGTGCACAAGCTGGAATGCTGTGCCTGTCTCAATGGACCCCATGGAGACTTAGGGGTAGTTGCCCCCCCCTTCTCATTGGCCCCTTCAGGAAGGGTGATTAGGGAAAGCTATAGGAGTTGGTCTTTCCATTATCAGCAATCCTCTTTTGAGAAGACTAGACTAGAATAAAGTAAGCTTATTTAACTCCTCCAAAGCTGTCTTCCTGTATGACCAGATCAAAATTCTAAACCTGCGCTAGAGTGAACCTGTTACTATTAGGAACCCTCCTGTGTTCTCCTGCCCAACAAATGGTGTTACTTGTGTGTTTATCTGTGAAACAATTTATAAAGCACTTTAAGATTCACAAAACACTATAATACACACAGAGACACTGACACACATATGATATATACATGTCTATATCATATATACACATCAATCAATCAATCAAAAAGCATTTATTAAGAGCTTACTATTTTATACCCTAGGCACTATAGAAGGCACTGGGGATTCAAGTACAAAGAATGAAACAATCTCTATTCATGAGGAACTTATGTCCTAATGGGGCAGACAAGTCATCAAAATGTAAGATGTGTGGGCTCTCATCTACTGATGTGGCTCATGTGGGGCATGGAGAAATATCATCTGAAGTCTAGCTTGCCTCTAAGGAGAGGAGAGCTCTGGTAGTGTTGTTCAGCCATTTCCCAACTGATGGGCATCCCCTCAATTTCCAATTCTTTGCCACCACAGAAAGAGTTCTCTTAAGGGGAAGCGTAGCTCCAAGCTTACTACACCTGCTAGCTTGATTCCTTCCCACCAAATAGTAGTTATATAAAAGACCATCATAAATAGTGAATAGCAAGTAAGTCCACCGGCAAAACAGCAAACAGAAAATATGCAAGAATAAACAAGTCCTTTAGATGGGTACATGATATGATCTAAGCTCAACCCAGCTCATTCAAGACAGTGGGCTTGATCTCACCCAAGGAGAAGTTCCCTTTCCAAAATCTCTACGGAAGAAAACAAGACATCTTTTTCCATGAAGAAGACATTCCATTGCTGGCTCCAGACATTTTCCCTCGCTGTCTTCCAATCCTGAAAGCTCTCCCTCCTCATCTCTACTACTGGCTTCCTTGGCTTCTTTGAAGTCCCAACTGAAATCCTACCTTCTACAGGATGCCTCTTAATTTTGGTGTCTCCCTTCTCTTAACTATTTCCTATTTATCCTGTATACAGCTTGGGTTTTTATACATATTTGCTTCTGGTCTCCCCCATTAGATTATGAGGACAGGGACTGTCTTTTGCCTCTTTTTATATTACCAGAGCTTAGCCCAGTTCCTAGCACATAGTAGACACCTAACAGATGTTTATTGACTGACCTAGAGTAGATGGAAAGTAATCTGAGAAGAAAAAGCACTAGAAATGGGGGGTGAGGGGTGGGGACGTGGTGGGGCAGAGGGAGAATCAAGGAAAGCCTTCTGTAGACTATAGGACTTGAACTGAATTCTGAAGGAAGCCAAGGAAACAAACCTCCCTATCAAGTGGTTTTTTCTCTACTGATTTAAAAAATGCTCATTCTTAAAAAAACCTCCACTAGATTTTGCTATCCCCTCAAGCCATCATCCTACAACCCTTTGCCTACTCAGTAAATGGTTTCCCAAATACCTCCAGGATCAAATAAAATTCCTCTATATGGTATTTAACGCTCTTTGCAACCTGGCCTCTGCCTCTTCTCACACTTTCTGTCTCTTGGGACCCCATTTGGGGTTTTCTTGGCAAAGATACTAGAGTGGTTTGCCATTTCCTTCTCCGGCTCATTTTGTAGATGAGGAAACTGAGGCAAACAGGGTGAGTGACTGGCCCAGGGTCACACAGCCAGTAAGTTCACTTTAGAACTCACGAAGATGAGTCTTCCTGACTCCAGGTCCAGCACCCTATTCACTGTGCCACCCAGCTGTCCCTTCGGGTTTAACTCAAGAGCTGCCTCCTACTGAAGCCTTTCCTGATTTTTTATGATCAGCACTACTCGGCCAGTACAACTACGCTGATTTCATTTCGCACATGCTTCGTACATGCTTATAATTCTGGGGCGTTCCTTTCGTTGGTCACCTCCAGCTGATCCTGCCCACGTCTCGTTTGTACACGCTTGTTCGCACATTGTCTCCCACCTGTGAGGTCCTGGAGAGCAGGGACGGTCTTTTGCCTTTGTCTCCCCAGCACTTGGTGTATGTAGTGCCTGCCCCACAGTGGTGCTTAATAAATGCCTGCTGACTGATGGAGTAAGGTCTCTGGGGGAAGGAGTTGTTTCGCTCTGGTTTTCTCATCCCCATTTATTGCCTGGGAGTGAGAAGAGGACTCAACTAACAGCTCAAGACCCTCCTCTAGCCTGCCAAGTGAACTCCTTAGCTCCCTCAGCTCTAAAAAAACGGTTTGGCGCATGCGCGTGCAAAGCGCGGCCCTTCCACCACAGCGCCCCTCCCCCTGCACAGCCGCACTTCCGCCCTTTAAGAAGATGGCTACACCTAAACTTCGTACTAAGACGAGCCACGGCGGCCGTGGAGAGAAAAGAAGCAAAGGATACTTGCATTTTCACTCCAGCCCTTTACTAACATGGCGACGCCCATTCGGGCTTACCAACTTCCGCCCCTCGCCGCGGCGCCTCCATGACCTGCAGGGGAACGAGACGGAAGCGGCGGGCCGGACTGGTTTCCGCCCTTCCTCAAGGTGGCGGCCCCCAGGAGCCGCACGCCAAGTTCCGCCGTGTACTCAGGCGCTGTTGCAGCAATGGCGGCGGAGGCGAGGCTGGCGTGAGCGGTGGAGGTGCTGTGCCTTCTGGGCCGAAGTTTCTCAGCCACGTGGCTCTTGGTTGTGGGCACTCTCAGGATGTCGGAGGGCAGCTCGGCGGGGGAACCGGGCCCCTCCGGAGGGGGCCGTCCTTCTCTGCCCGGGGCCCGGGGACTGATCGGGCGGCGGCCCGCGGCCCCTCTAACCCCGGGCCGCCTCCCCTCCATCCGTTCCAGAGACCTCACTCTCGGGGGCGTCAAGAAGGTAAGAAAGGTAGTTACCGAGGGCTGCCCGCCCGGCTCGCACCAGCCTTCTTTTCCTGCCACACTCGTCCATCCCGTCCGCTCTGTGGTCCCTTCCCACTGTTCTCGGTGCCTTAGCCTTCATCTCCCGCCTCCGAGCCTTTGTGCAGTCGGTTTCCCCTTCGTACTTTTCGTGCCTGTGTCGCTTTCAAAACAGCTTGGCGGCCCTCAAGGCTGCACCCCGATGTTCGTTGCTATTGGAAGCATCCTCCAATCCTGCCGAAGTTGTTAGTGTTCTTTCCCAACTCAAATCATATTTATCTATTTATGTCGTTTATCTCGGCTCTTCCCGCTCCGAAATCGCAAGGGTTTTGGTTTGTATCCTCATAGCTGCATGTAGGGAATGCTTATTACGTTAGGTGGATCCCTTGCTGCAGGGACCCTGTGTGAGTACTCTCTTCACAGACTCTGAGCCCTGTGCTTAAGACTTACAATGCTTCAGTGAAAAGAAGTTTTAAATAAGACAAAATAAACCCACTGTGTGCCAGGCACTGTGCTAACATATCTTAATCTTTATAAATATTTCACTCATTTGATCCTCACAACTATAGTGGGAGGTAGGTGCTGTTATGATATCCTTTTTACAGATGAGGAAACTGAGGCAGACAGGTGAAATGATTTGCCCCAGGTCAGACAGCTAGTAAGCATCATCTGAGCTCCAATGTGGTCTTGGGTCTTCTGACTTCAGGCCAAGCATTCTGTTTCACCACCTAGCTGCCTAGTGGAAAGCACATGGAGTTGGTATGGTTGAAAAATGCCATCTCCTTGCTGCCAGCCTGGTGATGACGCTCTCTGTCCTTAGCCAATACTACCCTGGTCCTTGGACAGCAGTGGTCTGTACTGGACATTTTCCAACATGGCAGGACCTACAAGAGCTTGTGTTCCTCTGGCATCACAGTTGCTTCCTCCCCAAGATAAAGCATCAGAAAAGGATTTGAATGAAGAAAATTCATTCCACCAACATTTATTAAGTTACATGTCAGATACTGAAGAGGTACTGAAAATGGTACTGAAGAGGTACTGAAAATGGTACTGAAGAGGTACTGAAAATGAGTACGGTTGTTTCCCTTTGGTGTTTACATTCTTTGTCGGAGGAAACCACATACACAGACAAGTCAATGCCAAATATGAAGTAGAAAGAGTGCTGGGCTTGGAGTCAGGAAGACTATTCTTCCTGAATTCAAATCCATCCTCAGACACTTATTAGCTATATGACCTTGGGCAAGTCACTTAACCCTATTTGCCTCAGTTTTCTCGTCGGATAGATGACCTGAAGATGGACATGGCAAACCAGTCCAGTGTGAACCCAACAAGGAGTTAGAGGAGAGAAGAGCCCAAGGGGACTTCCATTATAACCAGTCTATATACAGCTTGGCCAGAAAGGTTGGCACTTGAACTGAGCCTTCGGGTGCTAGGGATTGCAAGAGGAGGTGAGGAAGGACAGCTTTCCAGGCACTGGATGCAAGCCTGTACAAAGGCATGGGAGTCGAGTAAGTATTCTAGTTTAGTTGGAACGTAAAGTATATGAGGGGAAGTAATCTGAAATAAGTCTGAAGAGATAAGTTGGAGTCAGATTGTGAAGGGCCTTAAATGTCAAGCAAGAGATTTTATTTAATTCAAGAGGCAGTAGGGAGCCGCTGACTTTTTTTTTTTGGTGGCAGAGGCAATTGGTGTTAAGTGACTTGCCCAGGGTTACACTGCTAGTAAGTGTCTGAGGCTGGATTTAAACTCAGAGCCTCCTGACTCCAGGACTGGTGCTGTATTCACCACCTGGTTGCCCCCCTCCTGACTTATTTTTGAGTGGGAGAAGTGACATAGACCTCTGCTTTAGGAATACTGATTTGGCAGATGTGTGAATGTTAGGTTGGAGAGGGGAGAAACTCATTAGAAGGCTGTTGCTGGATGAAGGTCTGGACTAGGGTGGTGGCTCTTTGAATGAAAGGCATATATACAAGAGATGTTTAGTGGTAGAATTGCAAAGACTCAGCAACTGATTGTCTGTAAAGGAGAGGGAGAAGTCGAGGACATGTAATAAGCAGTAATGACAATAGCAGTTCTCTAATCCTTAAAGGATTTGTGATTTCACTGATTCAGATCAAAGCTCTTCCTCTACCTAGTAGGCAGGCCACCTTCATGTGTTGCTGTGGCTTAAAAAAAAAGTCATCCAACTGTCAGCCTTTTGGTGATGAGAGTGATGACTGTGGCTCACTGGCATGTACTGTGTTACAAAATGCTGTCCTCAGCATCATCTGTGAGGTGGATAATGCAGTGTTATGCTCTCTATTTTTGAAGGAAGTTGGCCACAATTCACCAGACAAGATAGCAGCCCAAATCTTCTAACTTCTAACTCTTAAAGGCCAGTTCTTTCCCCACCCCCAGCTTCTGTGCTTTAGAAACTCAGCACCATGGTTCTTGGGTTGTTTTCCATATCCACCAAGAGCTACACCAGACCAAGAAGGCCCTGCTGGGCTGGGAGGGTTTCCAGTACAGACCTGTGAAAGGCAGTCTCTTTTGTCCAAGGACCAGCCTTAAGTATTACCATAAGAGAGAGCAACTCACATTTCTATAGCATTTTAAGGTTTACAAAACACTTTCTTACAACAGCCTTGGACAGTAGATAGTGCATAGTATTATTTTCTCCATTTTACAGTGACTTACTGGGGATCATAATTGCTGGGGCTCATATGGCTACTAAATGTTGGAGCTGGGAGTTCTCTCCAAGTGCAGTGTCTTTGCCATTATGCCACCCAGCCTTGCCAGGAATTCATTTCACAGACATTAATTAAAGGCCTTTGCTAGGTGCTGCTAGGTACAGCCTGCATCTGGGGCAGGCTTCTCATAGATCAGGTGGCCCCTGACCTGAGCCTTGAAGAGCAAGTAGAGATGTGGTGAGAGTTTTCCCCGTGTTTGGGAGTAACATGAAAAAGACGGCATCATAGAAGAGTTAGAGCTGGAAAAGACTTTAAGATCTTCCCATTTTATAGGCTGGAGCCCAAAATGACTTGCCTGAGGTGACGCCATTCATAAGTAGTCCTTCATAAAAAGGACTTCACAGAATCAGAATTTTAGAGGTGAAAGACCATACTGGCCACTCAGTCCAACCTGTCTCCGAAAAAGCATGCCCTACCTCCTCTGATCTGCTTGTTTTATCTTTCATTGTTTGAGGGAGTTTTTTGTCACCTCAGGCATAAATTTGCATCTCTGCAGGCACCTATTGTGAAGGGCAAAGCCTGTGTCTTTTATACAATACATCAGAATTAAAAGCCAGATTCTGAAGGCCTTAAATATCAGGCTTAAGGAATGATTTACTTTAAATGGGAATCACTGAAGGATCTTGAGCAATATGGGTCATGTCTGTGCTTGGGGAAGATTATTTTGGCAGTTTTGTAAAAGGATTGATTAGAGGGAGGAGAAACTAGAAGCTTGGGAGACTAATCTAGAGGCTAATTTACTGATGATCCTGGACAAATTATTCTATCTCTCTGGGCCCCAGTCTGCTCGTCTGTGTAATAAAGAGGGTGAATTGGGCAGTCTCTGAGGGCCCCTCTAGCTCTGACTTCTGGGTTTCTGTTACAGTAACTTAAGTGAGAGGTAATAATAACCTGAGATACAGGTTCCAGGGAGTCATGTAGCTTACCATACAGACTGAAGCTCAAGGGATTTGGGCCTTTCTGGAGCCCAGGCTTTCTGGTCTTTGGCTACGTCCGCTGTATATAGAGTGGTTATAGTGGAAGTCCTGCAGTAGCTGTCCTCCCCCCTCATTGCTGGCCATCACTTATCTCATGCAAGGCACAGCTGTTGGATGCAGAGCCATGCCAGGGGCTGCAGAGCATGGAGCAAAACTCAGAGGGTGTCCCTTCTGTTCCCCAAACTTATTGAACATTGAGGCAACTTTAAAGGGGAAAAGAAGTCATATAAATGAATAGTCTGAGGGAGGCATCTAGAAAACCGAGTTTTCCTTAGGTAATTATGGTAATAGGGGCTTGCAGGCTGATTGTGTGTTACACGCAAGTGGTCTTGGCGTTTTAAACTGAGGTAGAATGACTTATAAAGCATTTATTAAGCACCTAACTATGTGTGAGACACCATGCTAAGCACTGGGGATACAAATATGAAAAAGGACAATCCCTGCCCTAAAGGAGCTTACAGTCTGAGGGAAGGCAGCACACAAAAGGAAGCTGAAATGCAATGGGAGAAAGGTGTGGTGGGGTCATGGCAAAGAAGTCAGTGAAGTCTAAAATGAGTGCAGCCAGGTGAGAAATGAGGCATCAGAGTGCTTTGGAAACCTTAAAGTGCTATATGAATGCTTATTATCATTATTATAAGATACAGACTCTCCCCTCAAGAATAAGGTTTGTACATAAATAGGGTATAATTCAATAAAGGCAAAGAAAAGGACTAGACAAGGTATTATAAGAAATTTGAGATTTCATGTGGGGAATTAGGGAGGGCTTCATGAAGGAATCTAAATCGGCACTTCAAGTAAAAAATGGATTTTAACATGTGGAGATGCTGAGAGGAGTTGAGAAGAAAGGAGAAGGTAGGACAACAAATAATAATTGACATTTATCAGGACAACTAGGTGGTGCAGTGAATAGGGCACTAGCTCTGGAGTCAAGAGGACCTCAGTTCAAATCTGGCTTAAGACACTTGACACTAGCTGTGTGATCCTGGGCAAGTCACTTAACCCTATTGATTGCCTCCCCACCCCCACCCAAAAAAACAAGACATTTATCCAGAGCTGTAAGGTTAGTAAGCTTGTCATTTTATATACATTATCTCATTAAATCTTCATAACAGACATCTACAGATATTATTATCCTCATTTTGCCACTTTATAACCGAGGCTAGAGAGGGTGACTTCCGCACAGTAACATAAGTAGTAAGTGTCAGAATTCTATTCCAAACCCAGCTCTCTCCTCACATCTGGTCCAGTGTACTTTCCCCTATGCTTTAAGATTAGTTTTATTTGACTGGAGAGTAGAGTACATGGAGGTAATATTTCAAGCTGAGTCCAGGAAGATAGGTTAGAACCAGACTATAGAGAGCCATAAATACTGAATAAATAAGATATTTAGGCTATATTTGGTGAGGCAAAGGTTTTTTAAAAGTAGAAGAGTGATGAGATCAGAACAGTTTATTAGGAAGATGATTGGCAGCTTGTGAATGATGGGTTGGAGATGGGATAGGAATAAAAATATCTGATTAGATTTCAGATTATTTTTAACAGCAGTGCTGTGGCTAGAGCTGCCACCTCTCTCCCAGCCATCCCTTAAGTCACTAAGGATCCACGACCTCAATTTGATGAACTGCTTGGTGTGGTTATGGTCAGTAGAATCTGCCTTTGTAATGGAATCTTAATCAGCATAAGATATTGCCCCTTTCTTACAGGTCTTTTTTTTTTTAACCATAAAGGGGCATAAAAAGGATGTTCATGTGAAAAAAGCAGCTTGAGACAGTTCTGAGAACCTGAGAGTAAACTGCCTCTCGAATAAATATACTTAGGGGACTTTTTTGAAAGGTGCTCAAAATCACAAGTTCTGACTAAAGGTGGAGATGGTTGTAAGGCGTTGTTGTCCATAAGCTCATTTATATTTCCTCCTTTTCAGCGTTTTAAAGGATATGTCTGAAAAACTAAAAATTGAAGAACTGTTGGGGAACTATGGGAAAATTGTATATTTTTTATTAGATATAGATATTGATAGAACTGGGGATTTTGAGTTTGTGAGTTAGAAGTAGATTATTCTTTGTAGAAGGTCCTGTTTTGAAGCCTTAGAAACCAGAAGTGACCAGGCAAAGACAGAAGGTGAAAAGGCAGATGAGGAAACAATAGCTACCTGCCTGTGTTGTCCTTTGCTACCCTCTGTGCCTTAAAAGAGAACCACCTAGGGGGAGAGAAAGGCATTGTTATCTGTGTTGCTGTTAGCTGTGCAGCTTAGAGGAGGTTGTTGCTTTGCTGAGAGCTGATTGGAGATAACAGTTCTTAGCTGTTTGAAGAGCTGGCTGGGGAACATTGGCATTGCCCTATTTGCTGTCTACTGCTTGGGTAGGGGAAGCCCTCTCATAACTCATAGAGAACAGAGCACACCATTAGGTTAGCAGATTCCAGGGTTAAGGGAATTATTGCTTCATGGAGAGTGCAATGGCTGCAACTTTTCTAAAAGACTATAACTTTGGTTCAGCAACCTGAAAGTAGAGAAGTAGTTTCCTATATCAGGAGACTAGAGAGGCTCAGAAAGGAGCAGATGATGCATGATGGAGACCTTTGCTTAAAAGACACTGCTGACATTCAGGCTTGCAGTCCAGAGTCATGAGTTGCTTTATTCATGAGTTTCCTTAATCATTTGCCTCATTGCCAAGTTTCTCTAAGTGTGTGCCTTTTCTCCCCCACAGACATGATATTGTGTGACTCAAGTTTGGTGATAAATTGTTATATTTTTACTATTTCTGCTTTTGATTTCTGTTGAGTAAATGTTGTATTATGATCATTATTGCTTTGCCCCCTTTTTCAAGATTAAGAGTTGAGCATCATTAGAGACTAACTTATTTAAATGGGAAGTACATCACCTAGGGGCTCAGAAGCTACAGTGGTGAGCAGGAGAGTATACCTCCCACACTCCAGGTTACCCTTAGTACCCTTAGAAAATGAATTTTAGCAGTGTGGTCATATCCTTGGCCCACCCCCCACTCTGAGAAAGCACACACTGTCCCCAGACCTACCAGCTTGTGTCCAAGTTGGGGTGGGTAAGCTAGCCCAGCGAGAGGGGAGGGATTGCTGGACCCCATACCAGTGGGGAATGCTGCCAAGATGAATCTGTTAGTGTCAAATTATCAAGAATAAACCTTTTTCCCATCTATGTAAAGCTGCAGATTTGGAAGGAGCAGGAAGAGTGAGGGGGCAAAATGAGGCTGAGAGTCGGGAGTTCCATGGATGGGGCATTAGGTACTTTCTCTTCCTAGGCCAATTACCAGTTCTGTAAAACTTGAATCTCTCTTTAGTTCATGATATTGTATATTGATGAATGGTTGATGTGGTGTGTTCTATACTTTATGACTTGTATTATTTTACTTCCAGAAAACCTTCACTCCTAACATCATTAGCCGGAAGATCAAGGAAGAGTAAGTGGTTAGGCCTCTTGTGAGGCTTCCCCCCATTTAACTGTTTTAGGATCTTGGGACTCTGTGAAGCTATTAAGGTGGTCTGAAGCTCAAGCTCTGGTCTATTTAGGCAAAGAAAAACCGAAGACTTTATTTTGGAATATTTTTCATTCTAGCATCCCTGTAGTCACAGAAATCCATTCCTGAAACACCTTGTGTTAGGTAACCACCTTAAATTCTGTATTTTAATTGTTACTAGTTAGTAAAGTTAAAAATAATGAAAATCATACTATAAGGGATTGTGCAGAGGAAGAACAGAAGGAGGTGGACTCCAGTTTGAGTTTGACTTGCTTTACCCTTAGAAATGAAATAGAAGGCCCTATGATTACTGAACCACAAAACTAAGGGAATGTTCCCCAGATTAGAAGAGTCCATATTGTTAAAGTGGGGAGAATAAGGTACAGCTGCTCTTAGGCAAAGTGACTCTTTCTTTTCCCCAGGCCAAAGGAAGAAATATCAGTCAAGAAAGAGAAACGAGAGAGGGATCGAGATCGACAGCGAGATGGACATGGTCGAGGAAGGGGTCGTCCAGAAGTGATCCAGTCCCACTCCATCTTTGAGCAGGGTCCTGCAGAAATGATGAAGAAGAAAGGTATCAGAATGTTGGGGGTCAGAGTGGAAGAAATAGGTGGTGGGTTTGAATTAAATCTTTGGGTTGAGACCTAGGGATGCTAGAAGTGGCCAGCCTTTCGTGAAGAAGAATAAGGGGTGATGTTAATGTTCCCTTGTTGTATTCTCTTCTTCTTGGACTCTTCCTTATCCCAAATGAGCTGAATGATTTCCTACAGGCAACTGGGACAAGACAGTGGACGTGTCAGACTTTGGCCCATCTCATATTATCAACATTAAAAAGGAGAAGAGGGAAACAGATGAGGAAACTAAACAAATTCTGCGCATGCTGGAGAAGGATGATGTATGTATCAGGGATCCCAGGGAGAAGAGGGCATCTCTGTGGTACTGGGGGAGGGCCTCTGGGAAGGCGTGACTGAAGAAGAGTTCTTATGTCTTCCAAAAGGCTGGACAGCATCTGGTCTTGGGGATTTTTGCCATCTGCCCCCTTGGTTGGAAAAGGACAAGGTGGTGGGCACCATTGAATGTTGTGCATTTCCTTCTTGCCAAGTTATAAGAGTCCTCTGATTCTTCCTTCTGACAGTTCATAGATGACCCAGGGCTCAAGAATGATACACGAAACAAACCTGTACAGCTTCCTCTGGCGCACTCAGGGTGGCTTTTCAAAGAAGAGAGTGAGGAACCTGATGTTAAACCCTGGCTGGGGAGAGCCAAGGAAGAGAGCATGGAGGTGGATGTGCCGGCACGGAAAGGTACCCTCTTCCCTTCCAGCTTGTCTTACTTTCTCCTCCACAGGGGATCTCTCCACAGAGTCCCTTCCAGGGCTCTTCATTGACAAGTGTTTGCCCAAGCTGGGTACAGAGAAATAGGACCCTGTGCCAGGAGATTGCTCAGCTGCAGCCCTATGCTAGGCGGGGCCTGGCACCAGTAGTTCAGCTGTCCATAACCATCTGGCTGCTGGCCCACCGACATGCCTACCTGCAGAATGGGAGGATGCTCAGAAATGACATGCATCCTCTGAATTCTGACCTCAGTTCAAGGGGTACTTTTCATTGGAAGCCCATGAAGGATTAATGCACACATACTGCCATGTCTCAAGGCTGGTACAACATGTATTACGATATATGTTGTGATACATTCTTTTTATGACCTTACCCTGGAATTAGGGAATGCTTCCCAGCTCTAAAAATTTTGTCAGAGAGGTTTCTTGAGACTGTTTGCAGCTTCTTTTCTAGATGTTCATTTGGTCAGATCCATTTATGGCTCTCCCAGTTAGCACATTTCAGGGTCAAAGATCTTTAAAACATTAAAATTTCATGAATGTATAAGTACTTTCAAGTGAGTTTTGTAATTTTTTTTTGTAAGTGCAAAGATTTCCAAACTTCTACACACACACACACACACACACACACACGTTTCCCAGTAGACATCCCTTCATTTTTTTCCCTGGTGCAGTGAAAGAGGAACCACAAGATGAGGATGAGGCCAAGGCAGCGGCCCTCTCCCGGCCCAGCCGAACGGCGCCTGGACTTCCTCAAGATGTGTCCGTGGCAGACTTACTCAGGGAACTGAGCTTTGCCAAGGAGGAGGAGCTTTTGTTCCTGCAGCTGCCTGACACGCTTCCTGGTCAGCCTCCTACCCAGGACATCAAACCCATCAAGACGGAGGTTCAAGGAGAAGATGGGCAAGTGGTGCTCGTGAAGCCAGAGAAAGACCGGGTATGATCATGAAGAGTGTAAGTGGGGGAGAGAGGTCCGAGGGTCACAGGTGGAGGGAGCCCTGAGTGTGTATCATTCTCATTCTAGCCTGACTTTTGCCAGGAATACTCATTATTTTCTACCCCCTGACTCATTTGGGGGATTTTGGTACAGGAGGACTCTTTGACAAGCCAAGACTTCAGTCCCTTTGATTCCTTGCCTAATAGTACTGTTTATTGGGGTAGTTCAAGGTCTTAGGGAAGGGGGTAGCTCACTTCCTTGGCACAATTGAGAATGACTTCTCTCTTCTTTCTCTTTCCTATAGGAAGCTAAACTGGCAGAGAACCTGTGTACACTGACTGACCTGACAGAGGGTCAGGTGGGAAAACTGCTTATCCGAAAATCGGGAAAGGTGCAACTGCTTTTGGGCAAAGTGACTCTGGATGTAACAGTGGGTACTTCCTGCTCCTTTTTGCAGGTAATATTTGAAAGGCGTAACCAATAAATTTCTAAGGGCCTATGGGGTGAAATTCTTTGGGAGGGATCTTGGAGCCAGGTGCTGAGTCAGAGACCCAGAGGTGGTTGGGTTTCAGGAAAAATGAGACTGAGCGGCAATGAGATTATTCTTCCTTCACTTGTAGGAGCTGGTGTCTGTGGGCATTGGAGATAGCAGAACAGGTGATCTGACAGTGCTGGGCCATGTGAAACACAAGCTCGTGTGTTCCCCTGATTTCGAATCCCTCTTGGATCACAAACAGCGGTAGAATCAGACGACTAAGGGTGAAAGGGTACCATTTGCTCTTTGCCCTAAGACTTTCATTCCTGAACTTCTTTGGGATCCAGAAGACCATTCTAACCTGCAACTCCTGCCTCCGATAAATATCATGCCTCGCTGTCCAGAGATTATAAGGGTTCAATGACTTCTTCTTCCCAAGTGGTGATGAGCGGCTTGATAGCCTTTGGAGAGAACAGAAATAATATACAAATGCCTGCTGCTGTATTTATGGGTTTGTGCCTGCTGTATTTATACTGTATGTTTATGTCTCCCCCTTTTATACTGACTGTATCCATATGTGCTGAAGGGCAGTGGAGACCCAAATGGAGCCATGGAAAATAAGACTATTTGTTTTGGTTTTCCTTTTACTTGACTCTCTTGGAGGGAAGTATGGGTGTTTCCTGTGCCTCGACCTCCAGCTCCTTCCCCTAGTCCTTCTTTGTCAGCTTTATCTCAAAGGAAAAGGCTCCAGCTTTACTCCTCTCAAGCAGGAAACACAGGAAAATCGACTACTTTTAAAGGTCCTAAATCACAAAATTGTGCAAGATACCCTTTTTGCCATGGACTCTTAAGCCAACATTTTGCTAGAGTGTAGGCTCTGTTGGAAGGCATGAATAGAGAAACTTCTGTCAACACACTGTTCGTTCCTCTCCATGTGCTCTTGACTGATTTGGGGGGGCCCATCCCAAGCCTAACCACTGTAGTACTTTTCCTCTGCTAGAGAAGCTAGGTTCCCCTCAGAGACGGATAATTGTGGTAGCCCTGAGGTATTAAAAAGAGGAAAAACGCAATGGGAGGCCCGCTCAAACGCCTTGAGCTGGACAGACTCGCCTCCTATTCCCCACTCTCCCACCACCATAGAACATGCCCACCCTTCTTGGGTCACAGTCACAGCCCGGCTTTTCTTGTTTGGCCTGTGGTATTATTACCTTCAGTGTACAGATTGTCCTGGATCACCAGGCATTTTATCCCTCCAAGGGATAGCCCCTGGAAGAGAAGCTCGCCTCTCCTTTTCCTTCCTAGTAGAATCTGTGTACCTCCTGGTTCAGCTGTACTGAGTTTCCTTCAACATTAGTTACAGGCTATGATGATACAATGTCATCGTGCATGCTGCATACCTCAGTTTGCAGGAAGTAGGAGATGCAAGACTTCCAGATATCTTCTCAAAGCATTGCATTGTTCAAGGAGGGTGTAGTGTTGCAATTCTGCATGGATAGAGGGGAAAATATGTTCTCTCTGGTCTCCAAAGGCACAGTTGTAGCTGGCCCAAATATATCCGAGATGCAAAGTGGAGTCTGGCATTGCATCTGTAGGCTGTTACTAATGGTCCTCTCCCCAGAAATGATGTTAGTGTTTAGTGCATAATTTCTTCAGAGAAGAGAGTTCCATGGGTACTGAGAAACTTGTGCACAAGAAGCCCTTTGCTGTGGAAGTACGGTCACAGTAGGCTGTGATTTCATAGAGATGACCCTCTCCCTGCTTCTAAGTGGCCCTGGTGAGGAAATTCATTTCCTAAAGCAAACTCTTTTCCTTCATTCTGTTCCAGCACTCTGTCAGTCATGGGTGAGATTTTCCTCGGTCCCATCATCCACAAACCTTCTGGTCAGTAAGTCCATTTGGCTATTGCTCCATTTGCTCACGTCCTTAGTAAGTCAATGCAGCTCTGCTTTGTCCTGGAAAAGCTGCTTTTATCCTAGGAAAGAATTTGGGATAATGGCTAGAGAGCTAGCCTTGGAGGCAGGAGGTCCTGGGTTCAGGTCCTGCTTCTGACACTTAAAGGCCGTATGACCTTAGCTAAGTCACAACTTCTCAGTTCCTCAGAATTAAGTAACAGAACACTTGCTGATCTGTGTCAATAGGGGAAGATTCATCCCTGGGTATTCCCTGTGCCCTGAAATCAAAAATCTAGACAAGTTGGGTGACTGGAGAGGACAGGTTTCCTTGGAAGTTCATTGTCAGTTTAGGCAGGATTTCCACAGATTGAGTGGGAAGCTGAGCAGACAAGAATTGCTGATGAACCTGGCTTCCACTTGACTCTGTGGGTCACAATTATTTCTCCTATTCTTTTAAAGTGGCTGGTGGCACTGTGGATGGAGCACTGAGTCTGGAGTCAGGAAGACCTAAGTTCAAATCCAGCTTTAGACCCTTACCATCCAGGTGACCTTGGGCACATTACTGAACCTCTTTCAACCTCATTTTCTTTCTGTGTAAAATGGGAACAATAACAGCAACTACCTCCCAGGTTGTTATGAGGATAAAATGATTAGTATTGTACGTGCTATATAAATGCTAGCTGATATTACTCTTTGAGAACTGCTAATGACTTTTGTGCCAGTGGATTTCTGTGATAAACTCAGTGGTTTCTTTCTGATGAAGAATAAGGACATTTCAGCTCTGAAACTAAATTCAAAGGTGTTAGGTACCCTCCAGGATTTGCTGTCTCTGACCCTGACCCCTTGGAACTCCTGGGTGGGAATATGGGGTGCCTGTGTCAAATGGCTCAGCATGCCTCCCTTCAGTATATTTTAGGTTTTAAGTCATGATAAATCAGTCATCCTGCATCACTATCCTTTTCACTTCTCTCCATCCTCCTGATCCACAAATTAGATGTCATCAAGGATAAAGAGGAGGGAAAGCAACATTGTCTTCCAGTCTGAGCCTCTGGATCACATAGTTTAACTCACTCCTTTCCATGCAATTAATAGAACAGAAGAGTCTGTATAGACTTAACTGCAGTTGTGTATATATAGTTTATGAAAACATAACTCAAATACAAAGAGAAGGGTATTTGTAAAATGAAATGGACTCAGCCAAGATTTCTGTTGGAAAACTATGCAAAAATGAAAAGATTGCCACATCCTCTCTATAACTAGATCTTTGCCTACAAAGCTATGAGGAGCTACAGTGTGTACTAGATGGATAACATGATGGGGGTGGGGGTGGGGGTGGGGATGCGGATGCGGCTGTTTAAGCAAGTACAAATAAGACAACTAGAGATCCTAAAGAAAGAGGTCATTTAACTTTCCTATGAGGAGCATCTCCAGGAAGGGATCTCTGTGGGGCAAGGCCTTTTGTAAATGTTACTCATTTAGCACCTGTCAAAGCACCTTTCTGTACACAGTAAGTACGTAGCAAATGTAAGAAACAGAGCATATAAAACGAATGGGGAAAGATACCAAAGGCGAAGGCCCTATGCTGTAGGCCAAAGGTGGTGTGCCAGATGCAGATTAAAGTGTAATTGAGAAATTGTTAACAAAATAAAGATATAATAAAACATGGATAACATTACCTTTTAAAACTAAGTTAACATGGCCTGGAGGGATTAGTACCCTTTGTACTTCAGTCTGACACCACTACTGTAGGTGACAGCTTGGTATAATGGAGAGATTTGTTGCTCTTGGCATCTGGAGTGCAGAATTGGAGCCCCACTTCTGCCACTGTATAGAATGAACAAGTCAGAACCTGAGTCTTGGTTTCCTCATCCGTAAAATAGGAATAATAATCAGATCTTGACCTGCTCTCAGAATTGAAAGGGTCCTCAGAGGCTGTTGAGTCCAGACCACATATGAGTAATGACCTGACAGTTGAGCGTATAGCTTTCTATAGAACTTCAGTGAGAACATCCTTAGACAGCCCACTGTATAGTACTCAGTAAGTTTTCCCCTATATCAAGCCTACATTTGCCTACTTACAACTTCTACTCATTGGCCCTAGTGTGTTCTTGGGGCCAGTTAAATCCATGTAGGTTCCAGCTGTTAAAATCTTTAAAGAAAGATCATGTCTTCCCTAAGAATGAGCACTGCACTTACGGGCAGTGGTTTAAAACTTAAATTTAGTAGATATGCATTTATTAGGCACTTATTATGTGCCAGGCACTGTGTTAAGTACTGGGAATATACAAAGAAAATCTGTCCCCTTAAGGATCACCTGTTTTAATAGGAGAGATGTGTAAATAACTAGCAGGTTCCTCACCCCTGGACTAGGAACACACAAAATGTATAAAAGTAGACAGAAGGCAGTCTGAGAGGGGAAGATGTTTGGCAGCTAGGAGAACTAGGGAAGTTACACACTTGCAGAAAGTGGGCTTTGACCTGAATTTGGAAGGAACTCAATGGGCATAGAAGAGAGAGTAGAGTATTCTAGGCAGGGCCGACAGGCTGTGCAAAGATATTGAAGTAGGAGATGTTTGAGGAATTGCAAATAGGTCAGTGTAGCTGGATCCTAGAATGCCTTGAGGTGAGTAAGGTGGGGGAAAAATGACAATAGAAAAGGGTCATTATATAAGGAGTTTTGAGTGCCAAATGATGCTTTTTTTTTGTTTTGTCCTGGAAGTAATAGGAAGCCATTAGAACTCGTTGAGCAGAGAAGGGACAATATGATTAGTTAGTTGAGTACGGATGGACTGGAGTGAGAAGAGGCAGGGAGGCCAATTAGAAGGCTATTGCAATATGGGATTAAGATTCAGGTCTTCCTGTCTTTAGGACCTTTGCTTTAGCCACTGCAGCACCTAGCTGCCTTCTCTAAAATGAAATGGGGTTCTGTTAGATAGTGTCTGAGGTCCTCCAAGATATTTCTTGTTAATGTTTTGCCTAAGAAATAGCAGGGCCAAGGGTCAGAAATACTCAACTAAGATTTAGTGGTTTTTGGATCTAGTTTTAACCCTGATTTGCCCTATGATTTTGGGCAGTCACTTATTGTATACCTCAGTTTTCTTATATTATCAATGAGGAAAATAAACCTGTCCTATATCAGACTATGATGATGATAATAGTAGCTAATATATTTTAGTGCTTACTATGTGCCAGGCATTGTACTAAGTGCTTTGCAATTATTTGATCCTTACAACAACCCTGAGAGGTAGGTGCTATTATTATTCTCATTTTCCAGATAAGGAAACTGAGGGAAACAGGTTAAGGGACTTGACCAGGGTCACGCAGCTAGTGATTGCCAGAGGCCAACTTTGAACTCAGGTCTTCTTGACAGCAAGCCTGGCATTCTATCTACTGTGCCACTTAGCTTCTCATATGAAATGCAAGGGGTAAAAATAAACAGATACTGAGCACCTATTTGCAAACTCTATTACATGGGTTAACCTGGGGTCTATGAACTTGTTTTTTTAAAAATATTTTGAAATTAGTTTGATATAATTGGTTTAATTTATAATAATATATTTTTATTTTATGATTTATTCATTTAAACGTTATTCAGAGAAGGATCCATAGGTTTCATTAGACTACCAAAGGGGTCCGTGACACTTGAAAAAGATTAACATCAACTTTTTTTTGGTAAATAGTATTTTATTTTTTCCAAATACATGCAAAGATAGTTTTCAGTTTTTTATAAGATTTTAAGTTCCACATTTTTCTCCCTCCCCTCCACCTTCCCCAAAACATCAAGCAATCTGATATAGGTTATACATATGCAATCATGTTAAACATATATCCATATTAGTCATGTTGTGAAGAAGAAACAGAACAAAAGGGGAAAACCACAAAAACAAACAAACCAAAAAGTGAAAATAGTATGCTTCAATCTGCATCGACTCCATAGTTCTTTTTGTGGATGTAAATAGCATGTGCCATCATGAGTTTTTTGAAATTATCTTGGATCGTTGTATTGCTAAGAAGAGTCAAGTCAGTCATAGTTGATCATCGCACAATGTTCCTGTTACTATGTACAATGTTATCCTAGTTCTGCTCAATTCATGTCAGCATCAATTCATGTAACTCCAGGGTTTTCTGAAATCTGCCTGTTCATCATTTTTTTTGCACAATAGCATTCTATTCCATTCATAAACCACAACTTCTTCAGCCATTCCCCAATTGATGGGCATCCCCTCAATTTCCAATTCTTTGCCATCACAAAAAGATGCTTTAAATATTATTGTACATGTAGATCCTTTTCCCATTTGTATGATCTGATTGAGATACAAACCTGGTAGTGGTATTACTGGATCAAAGGGTATGCACAGTTTGATTGCCCTTTGGGCATAGAAGAACCTCTGCTCTTGAATCTCTTTCCCTAATAGTCTCATTTCAGGATGGTGGGACTATGATAACTAATTTGACTCTAAGCTGACAGCAGAGTTATACATACAATCTTAATTCAACCAATTTCAACTGTTTAGCTAGGTAATATCTGCAAAATACTTTGCATAGAGCCTAGCACATAATAGATGCTATATAAATGCTAGCTATTATTATGATTAATTATCATTATAATTCTAATACAAGCCATTGAAGCTTAAAACTGAACTAAGACTTTTGGGACTTCCTATATTTTGGTATGTTCTTGTCTGACAGCTAAAAATTTAGAATTGTGCTGAGGAACTTACTTTCTGTTTCAGAATAATGGTTAGATTTATCTTAATTTTTAACTTTTTTACTTAATTTTTCTTTTTTTCCTCTCTAATCTTCCCTTTGCTGAGAGACACTTTGATGGTAGACTGTGAATCTAGCTGTGCACTTCTCATCTATCCTGCCTCTTTTCATATGGCTGTAGTTTTCTTATCACTTTTCTTCCTTTTCTCAGAGGTGTTCTATTCTGCCTATCCAGTTTTCTTCCTATTTCACTTCAACATATTATTTGCACGCTATGTGCAGAGTGCTATGCTACATACTGGGAGAAATACAACCAGATATCTCCTACTCATATCCAGTTCCCTTTTGACATTTTCTCTTTCAACTTTAATTATTTCCCTCCCCCATTCCATTTTCCTCTGTGGCTTTCATTTTTGAAACCTCTTGCCCTATATCCTATCTCCCACTCTACTCTTCTGATTTCTCATTTTCCATCTTTTCAAAGCAGTAATCATCCAGAATAGAAAGTCTTTGTTCTTGATTGTCCATTCTTTGCTACAGGGGGGATTCAAAGGTATAGGTGTTCAGGCTAGAGCTGTGATTGGGGTAGGATAACTATAATTCAATCAATCCAATTGGCCCAGGGTGAAATTTATAGCTTCAATAGACCTGTGGTTTATAATTCTTGTGCATCTTTGGCCCTCTTTTAATACCATACTCCAGCACTCTGCATCCAAAGTACAAGATTCCCTCTCTGCCTGACAGGCCCTGAGTCACCATCCCCATCTCCAGTAGCCTCCTGCTGCATCTGCCACAAATTCTCACCACATCCTAGGGTTGAGGGGAAAGTCCATGGCTGCTCCTAGTACTGCCTTACTCCTCCACTCTGCTACTCTGCCTCCTCACATAAAGGCTTTACTACCTGACGAATAGGCCCCTTTACTGCGTGTCCTAACTGCAAATGGTTTACCATTAAAGCCACCTGAACAGTACAATGAAAGTGATGCCTGGTAGATTGAAAGTGGGCTCTCAGGGCATTGCTGGTGAGGTTTTGCCAGGCCCAGTCCTTATTCCCAGCCTGGCTTGCCTGAGATTCCAAAATCCCTAGTTAGAGCACTGTGACAGATGCCCTTTTTAATAAATGGCCCTCACATTTCTGAAAATGTGTTTTACATGTGTTGTAGCAGAAAACTTGTACATTGTTACTGTAACATTCTTAGAACTTGCTCGCCTGTGTAGTATCTTCTTATTCCACAGAAAGCACTTTGTGAAGCTAGAATCAAGAGGAACGCCCCAGTTCTAGATTCAGTGGGAGGTAGCCCAGAGGTGGGCGTAAAAGGGCAAGGAAGCTCATGACAGTTCCAGCCAGAAGTAGGAGTGTAAGCATTTGATTAGAAAAGCATTATGACACTGGACATATGCTTTTCGGCTCTCTTTTATGCGCAGATGTTTGCATTTGTGTTAAGTTGTCTAATAAGAAATTTCCTAACAATGAGGACTGTATTAAAGTGAAATAGCCTATATGTCAAGGTTTCCCTCTCAGTAAACGTAAGAAAAAGGATTTCTGTTCAGGTATGAGTTAGGCTAGTTGGCTTTTGAGATTCCTTCCAATGCTAAAATTCTATGATTCTGACAGTAATGAGGACCATGAAAATGAAAAGATCATTTCCAGTTGGGGCAGTGCAGGGATGAGTGGTGGAGAGATAAGGACTTGGCTGTAGAGCTAGGCCTGTATGGAAGGAAAGAAAAAAAGAACTGGGAATGGGAATCTATTTCAAGTAGAGGGGGCAGTGTGAATAAAGGCATGAAACCTAGAGAGGTCACAATCATAATGGAGTTTGTCTGGAGCGTGGAGTATATAAAAGGGAAAACCCATAGAGGAAGCTGAAAAAGTAGGTGGAACCCAGATCACAGAAAGTCTTGAGTGCCAGAATAAGTTTACACTTTATTCCTGAGACAAAGGAAAGACACATTGGTTAACTTCATTTGTTCTTTGTAGCAACGTTATGGCAGATATTGATATTATTGTTTCACACATGAGGAACTGACAACTCAAGGCCTGGCGCGACTTGGCAAAATAGGATTTCCAACCCGGGTCTCCTACCTCCAAGGCTAGGATAGAATGGAGAGGGGGAGGGAAGGAGGAGATGAAACTTCACCATTATTCTCTCTAAGGGAAAGATTTTTGTAACTAAAGATTAATTAACTAATTAAAGTGCCCTTAATCTTGCAATAAAATTGGGTTTATGAGTTGCCTCGTAGTGTCCTGGGTTCTATTTGTTGGGCTGGAAGAGCCATGGGCCTCATCACCACGGCCCTCCTAACCTGCCCTTACTCTACGTTATTAACACGCTCCGTAATGTCCATCCCTCTTCTGGGCAATTTCTCTGACCTTGCCCCACCCTCAGTGGGACCAACCAATTTTTACAAACGTCACTGAACAGAATTTAGGTGACTTTTACTGACATCTCCAACAAAAAAGGTTATATTTTCGAAAGCCATTGCATGTAAGTGTTATTCCAGTGTGGTCTGTACTGAGTTTCAAAGTTAGAAGCACTTCGAAACTCTTCCCCACTTTCACACCCTTTTGGTCTAACCCAGTTAACTCGCTGGGATAGGTGGGAAAGGACGGTAGCTTCCCTCAAAGAGGGGCCAATGAGAGGCCCAGGAGAAGTGAGTGGCGTGCGTCAAAACCAATGAATGGATTTGGTGCCCTAGTTGCAAACGTTAGCGCAGGAAGGGGGGGAAGGAGGGGCCGGAGGTGGGAGGAGAAACGGCTACTTCGGTAAAAGGAGTGAGCACCGGTAGAGAGCTCGAAGCGCGAAGCTCTCTACCGTGCAGGTCAGCCATTGTCCGGCCCAGTTGAGGGTCCCGAGAATCCGGCTTGTGTTGGCGAGACCCAACAGGTGTGGGAGAATGGCACCCGGGACTGGGACGGGGGGAGGGGGGAAAAGAGTTTAGGGGGGGGGCTAAACCCCTCCACGAGCACGTGGCTGCTCGGGGGCCCCGACCTCACTGCTCCGTCCCTTCGCCAGCACGGGGACGCCGTCCGCCCCTGCACCTCTGAGTCGCTCGACATCCCCCCCCACCCCGCTCCGATCCCCGTGGCTCCCTTTCTGCCTCACCCATTCTCCTTTACCTACGGGAGCCAAAAAGGGGAAGGGACTTCGAAGGGGTGAGAGAGCCCCTGCTGAGGGCGACCGGAGGACTAGGAGACTGAGGGGAAGGAGGTGGGTGAGGGGGAGAAGAAAAGAAGCCGTAGAGGAGAGACAGGGCTGGGGGAGGGGAGGGGCGCTGGCCCTGGGGAGGGGCGTGACCTGAGGCGCTCCGGTCAGGAGCGGTTGGCTTGCTGACCGAGATCAGATAGAGGACCATGGCTTGGGAGTTGGGGGAGGGGAGGGAGCTTCGAGATCATGTCTACCAACCTTCTCCCACAGATAAGGAAACTTGAGGATTTGGGAAGGGGAAAGAAACTTACACAGCGTCACAGCAGACATAGGAGGTCTCCTATAGAATGAGAAAGGAAAAAAAAATCCTGGGATAGAGGCTTGTTTTAGGAGTATTTGAACTACAAGACAACATCCACTTCATCTTGCTTTTTATACGGATTGGGAAATTTAGGTAAAGACTCTAGAGCTTTGATTTTGATGTGCTCAGATTACCACAGAGAATAAGTAGCCCAAGGGGAATAGGCATTCCAACCCAGGACTCTTAAGACTAAACCCTTATATGTACACCACCCAGAGCTTCTCAACACAGCTGGGATTTTGAGGGATCTAAAATGCTTTCTTGCAAGGTTGAGCCCAAGTCAGAATTGGGAAGTAAGTAATGTACGTCTTAGGTAATTTCTCTTTTTTTTTAAATGAATTTTTATTGCTGTCTTTTGTTTTTACATCATCACCATTTCCACATATAGCTCTCCTCTCTGCCCTGCCCAGTGAGCCATCTCTTATAACAAAGAATAAAAAAAGAAAGGAAAAAAGTGAAACTAAGCAACACACAACCAAATCTGACACTGAGCAGTGTTCCACACCTGTAGTCCCCCCAACCTCTGCAAAGAAAACAGGGAGGTGCATTTTCTCTCCGAATTAATATATTTTCAGTTTTATTCCTATGTCCAACACTTGGGCTTGGTCATTATAATTACACAGTGTTTAGGTTTTTTCTTTTCCATTTATATTGTTGTCATTGTGTAAATCGCTTTCCTACTGCTGCTCAGTCTGAATCAGTTTAAGTCCTCCTGCTTCTATGAATTCTTCCTAGTCATAAGTTATTAAGACACAGAATTCTATTGCAGTAATATGCCACAGTTCAGCCATTTCCAGACTGGTATTTACTTTGTTATCATTTCTTTGCCACCGAACAAAGTGTTGCTGTGAACAGTATTGCTATGAACTTTTTGGTGTCTGTGGAACATTTCTGTCTTTGACGTCCTTGGGTGATATGTCTATAAATAGGATTCCCAGGAATGGACATTTTAGTCATGTTCTTAGTGTAATTACAAATTGCTTTCCCGATTGGTTGGACCAATTCACAGCTTCACCAGCGTTGTATTACTATGCTGTCTTTCCTATAGTGCATCAAATGTTGATTATTTCCATCTTTTGTCTTCTTTGCCATTTTGCTGGGTATGACATTTGAAACCTAAATTATTTGAATTCACATTTTGCTTGTTAGTTGACTGGTAGAATCTTTCGTATGGTTCATAAGGCAGTGTGGTATACAGATAGAGAGCTGACCTTGGAAAATTTCAGGAAAACCTCAGTTCAGGTACTACCTCTGACTTATGTTGGCTTTGTGACCCTGGGCAAGTAACTTAACTTCGTGGTGTTTTTGGCCACTCTCTAAGGAGAGTCTTAAGTTGCTGAGAAGGTGGCCCATCAGTATTGGGAGAGGGAATTTCCTCACCCCAGGGTTCCTACCCCAGTAAAATCACTGTTCTAGACTCTACCCTACTTTTAATATGGTTAATAAGTTTGCATTTTAAGGGGAACTGTTAATATTCTTTAACTACTTATCCATCCATTGTTTCTCCTATTTGTTACAATCTTAGTCATCCAGATTACTCATATACTCTCCCTCTCTTATCTCCCCTCTACCATCCCCAAGATCTTTTCTCAGAGTCATTATCATGCTTCATGTATTTTCTTCTCTTCTCATTCCTCCCCCACCAAAAAACAGCAATAACAGTAGAAACTGCAAACAACCACTGACCTATTCTGTGCTTTATTCCCACAAGACTTTGTTCTTTGCTTGGTAACTACCAATCAAGATGAAGTCTAGTTAGGTTCCATTATGTTCTTCTTACATGTACATTTTAATAAGATCTTTCTGGAGATGATGTCTTAACCCAAATGAGTGTCTCCAGAAGCAGTAATGTTAGATACTATGGCAGGTATGGGAGATATTTTTGAGTAACTTTTTAGTGCTGTTCAAGTTTTTCCACTGACATATTACTAGACTCTGGAAAGAGTATTCTGCTTGTAGACCTAGGTTCACATCCTAGCTCTAGTCCTGTGGTGGGCAGTACGCTTAACCTTTCAGAGCCTGTTTTCTCATTGGTAAAATATAGATACTTGTCCTACGTTCCTAGTAGTAGTTCTGGCTGGTTGTGAGCCTTCAAAGAGCTGTATAAATTTGAACTACACTTTTGTATGTTTGGATTGGGAAGTAAGGGGCAGGGATTAACTGGGAAGTATTGGGGAATGAAGGGAGACCCAGAGATATTACTGGGGCAGCTAGGTGGTAAAGTAGACAAGATATTGGGCCTGGAATCAGGAAGACTCATCTTCCTGAGTTCAAATCTGACCTCAGAAACTTATTAGCTCTGTGACCCCTGGGCAAGTCACTTAACCCTGGTTGCCTTAGTTTCCTTATCTGTAAAATGAGCCAGAAAAGGAAAAAGCAAACCATTCCAGTGTCTTTGCCAGGAAAATGCAAAAGAAAATTGGGTCACAAAGAGTCAGACATGACTGAGCAACAGATATTAACAATTCCTGGAAACATATGTGACCCTAGTTGTTACAGATGTCAGAGAGAATAACTTAGGGTGGACTTCTGTTAAGGGATTTAAAAATTCTCTGTAGCTCACCAATAGTTTTATCAGCCTTACCATATTTACTAGTATCATGTAGCTAATGCATCTGATTTGGAAGGAAAGAGAAGTAGGCATAGTAGAAGTCTGAAATGAGCATGATGCCTTGTCTTTTTAAATTCAGATTATTTCCTACTTACGACCACCTTATCTCTACCCCAAGAGTTTTCTTCTTCATGGTAACTTGAATTTTTTAGGCTTCTTTAGACTTTTCACAGGCTATATACGCTTGTTATATTTTGCATGACTTTTTCCTGAATAACAGTACTAGATTCAAAGTTGAAACAGCTTCTTAACAGAGGACCTTTTGGACAATGTAGTTAGTTCTTCGAAGCTTTATAGAAGTTTTGTGAAAAGGAAAAAAAGGGGGGCCAAGAGTGAATCTTGGAGAAGACCCTCTAATTAGGAGGCATGATATGGATGATGAATAGGTAAAGGAAGTGAAGGAGAGGTCATATAGGTAGGAGAACCAGTGTCATGAAAAGCCAGAGAGAAGAGAATATTGCTGAGGAGAGGGTGCTCAGTAGTGTCAAGCTGAGAAGTCAGTTAAATCAGGAAGGATGAGGACTGAACAAAGAGCATCAGATTAGACAATTAAGAAATCATTGGTAACTTGGGAGAGAGCAGTTTCAGTTGAATAATGAGGTTGGAAACTATACTGCAAGGGTTGAGGAGTGAGGAAAGAGAGACAGTGAATATAGGCAACTTTTTCAATGAGTTTGGCTAAGAAAAGGAAGAAAGATACAGGATGATAGCTTGAGGGGAAGGTAGAGTCTAATGAACATTTCTTTTTTTAAGGATGGGAGACTTGAGCTTGTTTGAAGGCATTAGAAAAGGAATCAGTAAATAGGGGAAGTTGAAGATTTGGAGGTGGGGAGAGGATTGAGGTTGCTGTTTGCTACAGAAGACAGTAATGGACAGGATAAAGGATACATATAGAGGGGACTCCACATTCTGAGATTCAGAAAACTCCAGTGTTCCAATTCTCTGTTTAGCTTTTAAAACCCTTCACAACTCAGGGCCAGCCTGTCTAGCTTCTGCCATCTTCCATCTCTGTGCCTTTGGAGTGCCACATGCCTGTAATGCATTCCTTCCAATCTTTTGCCTCATTTGAATCTCTCTCTTCTTAAAGACAAATCTTTTGTACTGTCTTCTGCATGAAACCTTTTTCTGATCCCTCCAACTGCTAGTATTCCCCCTCCCAAAGCTACCTTTTATTTAACTACTTCATATTTATTTGTATTTATTCTGTACGTACTTATATATGCACTTGTTTTCCCTATTAGAGTGTAAGCTCTTTATAAGTAGGGATTATTTCATTCTTTGTATTTGTATCCCAAATGCCTAGCAAAGTACTTCACATAAAGTAAGTTTTTAATCTGTGCTTGTTGACTGACTGATATTTTGCTCCACTTATTTTAGAGCCACTCTTAGAATAAGAATGATGGGCGGCATGGAATTGGGGAGGAGTTTGGGGGAATTGCGGTATTTCTTATATTCTTATGAACTTGTTTTGAAGGTGTAGAATGAATTAGGAACCTTTGTTCCTCTTTAATTTGTTGACAGGTGATTAACCAAAACAGGATCAATGCCAATGTCCTCTACAGCCAACCAATGGATCCTATTCGTCCTCCATTCAGAGGAACTCCTCCTTTCCATTCACTTCTAAGCATACGGCTGCCAGGGTCTCGGCCACATGTTCCCAAACTTATGGACACAGCTGTGGGCAGAGTAGGACAGGCAGTCCAAGGCAGTTCATTGGGGAGAGCAAAGGAAGCAATCCTGCAATATGAGCAGTTGCAACAGGTAAGAACATAGGAAGCCCATTAATGATGTTCTTCTTGTCTAACTGTGAACATACTTTTTGTCCTGCTGTTTTTGAATTTCTGATTTTAGAATTTAGTCATGAACAGGAAAATGCTTCACAAATAGGACCCTGAGATTTGTACATAACCACTTCCCTTTGGTGCCTTTCCAGATTTTCTAAGTAGTTTTGGAGACAAATCAAGACATGACCGCTTGCTGCTTTCTTAGAATTCTTTTTTCCCTGTGGTGTTAGTAGTATAGTGATGGCAGCAGTTGTTTTATAGTGTGCCAACATTGTAGAGATCATAGTTGTCAGCTTAGTGGGTTTTTTGGTTGTTTATTATTTTGATAAGGCTCTTTGCCCTTAAGCCCTAAAGGAAAGGAGTATAATTCCTTTAGTTACTGCTACTATTCATTTGTTTATATTTTTTAGCCAAAGTTTATTTGTTTTATAAATACGTAGTATCTTTAAGCATGTGTATGATAACAGGAACAATATTTGCTTACAGAAATAAAACTCAAAGAACAAAAGGATTTAAAATATCAAGGGGGAATCCTAACTGAGCCATTAGCTAGCAGTGTGTAAAATGTACTGTTGTTTTGCAGGAACATAAATATTTTCCAGTAATATAAGATCATACTCAGATTGCTTAAGGCCTCTGTATTCATGTGGCATATGATATTGACATTATTGAAGTATGGTAAGTGTAACATGAGACAAGGAATCTGTAAGCGGCTATAGTAAAAACCTTGTAGCAATCGAGGAACAGTAAGAGAAATGAAATCTTTGCTCTTCTTAAAGAGTCAACTTTACTGAAAAGTTGACACCAAAGTCAGAACGTCATTTAGGCCATTTTCCCTCTCTTAATTTCTTCTGTTTCAGTAACTCAGAAAATTCATGAAACTTAAATAGATTTTTTAAAAAGCCATAATTTGTTGTATTCTGTACTTAATATATATGGCTCGTTTTACGTATTCCAGCCAAGAGTTATATAATTCTTCTCTTACTGAAATTATTTTGCACAGATATTTGGTCTGTCCTCTTTGAAGTATGTAAATTTTTTTTCTAGATGACACAAACTAAAATTCAGGGGTATGGAGTACAGTGGGAAGAACATTGATCTATGAGGAATCAGGAGATCTGTTTTCTAGTGTTGGCTCTGCTCTTTGCCATGTGACCTTAGACTAAACACCCTCACTAGGCCTAATTTTCCTAATTCAAAAATAGGGAGGTGGCTGGACTTAGATGACCTGAGGTACTTGCTAGCTCCAGAAGTTCCAATAGTTCTATGAAATGATATGCTGGAGTTATTTGTAGAACTGGAAATAAAATACAGGTCTTTTCAATAGCATCTATGCTATTCCATCTATGCTTAAATATTATTGTTGTTGTCATCTGATTTTGGGACGTCATTTGGGGTTTTCTTGGGAAAGATACTGGAGTGGTTTGCCATTTCCTGTTCCGGCTCATTTTACAGATGAGGAAACTGAGGCAAACAGGGTTAAGTGACTTGCCCAAGGTCACACAACTAGTACATGTCTGAGGTAGGAGTTGGACTCATGAAGATGAGTCTTCCTGACTCCAGGCCCAGCATTTTATCTGCTGTACCACCCTAGCTGCCAGTATAGTTGTGCTTAAATATAATTGATCCCTATGATAATTTTTGGATTTTTTTTCCCTTTCAGAGTAGCTACTGTTAAATTGTCTCCCCACAAAATATAACTATTGGACAGTTGTCCGATTAGGTAAATTGGTTATTTCCCAATAGTAATATTACAAAGAGGTTCAATTATGCTTTTATCCCTCAACCTACAATACTACCATGATTGAATTAAGAAGATAAAGGACCTTCATTTCTGCCAGAAGCTTGAGAAAATGACTAGTACTTTTGTTCTCGAAAATCCTCTCACTTGATAATTATTTATCGTTTGCACTTATACAGGAGTCTGTTGGTTTGTCATCAATGTTCCGTGGGCTGGGGTTTGAGACAGCAGCCCGCCCCCCTTTGAGAAGAGATATACCCCCCTTTGGTAAGTGGCAGGCTGATCAAAGATTCCAGAGTGGTTTGCTTCCTCTTTTCTCATCCTTGTGCCTTCTGTCTCCAAGAAATTGATCATTTAGAAAATTCTTTTCATCCTATAACTCTAGCCAATATCTGACCTTTTTTTATTAAGGTAGAGGCATTTTAGGCCGAGGCTTGAGTTTTGATATGGTGTCTAAAGGCCAAGAAGAGCTTCTGAATCAACCAACTTTCCCAGGCCCTTTGGTGTTGGCAGCTGGGGACAGCAAGATGGCATCAGTCTCCCTTGGTTGGAATAGGTGCGTGTTATTGAGTTCTCAGACAAACTTACAATTCAAAAAGCTGATTTAACGGATCTTGAGAACAAAAGAAAAATTTTTGAGAAGGCTTGGTCTGCATATCTTTATGAAATTGTTTTAGTTAACAGACCTTAGGCATTTTCTAGGAATAGCAGGCAATTGCATTCCCTTTTTCTCACTAAGAAGAGGGGAAACATGCCATTTCCTGATAAGACAATGAATATATCACCCCATCTCCCTCTTAGAAGGTCTGATTCTTGTTCTAAAATAATTGTTAAACTGAATGAGGTACACTCATGTTCCAGTTCTGATATAGGAAGTAATCTAGAAGGTCAGCACCAAAAGTAGTTGGTGGATGTGACCAATTTATTCTCCTTTCATAGTGTGTTCTATTTTATATCATTGTTTTCTGAGATTTATTTTCACAAAACCGCATTCAGTCTACTTTGTAGACTATTCTAGGAATAAAGTAGATTTAGAGATGATGAAAATGGAACATAGATAAAAGTACTGAATTTTTAAAAAATCTGTAATGTTTATGAATTCAGGAATCTTGGAAGAGGGAACTTTGAGGTTCCTTTGGGAAGACCAGCTTTTGGCTTAGGCAGAGCGATATGTAAAGCACCAAGTGAGTTATCATCTCCAGATATTCCATTGTTATCATCATCATCACTACCATCGCCCAAATCCTCATTCCCCCTCTATCAAGATCACCCTCCAGATAGTCCTGTTGAACAGATGGAGAAAAAGTAAGTGAGGAACAGTGTCTTTGTGGCTTACCATGGCTATGGAGGCTTTCTAGTTAATTTGTCTGTTTAGGCCTAGGGAACTGGTATAGCGCTTTTCATGAGACCAGAATCCCAGTAGGATGGGTAATAACATTTTTTGGTTATTGGAGAGGTTATGTGATTTGTAAAGAAGAGTCAAGGAATGATGAAAGTTATTGGATAACAATGCTAGGGAGTAGAGTTATGATTCACTGTTTCCCCTCCAGCTCAGATTTGACAGGACAGTTCCTTTTGTTAAATATTCACAGAGCTTAGTATTTTAATTAGCATAGGTATTCTCTCCACTGATGAATATTTCAACATATCCACATTTTTAGTAAGTAGCTTCATGAATTTTTGTGGCCTAAGAAATCATCATCTTCTGTTGATAATCCTCTCCAAACTTAACTAGTCCAGTTTTAGGATGACATATACACAGTCTCCAGGCCTGTCCTTGAAGTCGTTCTGGAATTTTAACCTAAGGTTACCACTACACCCAAAAGAAGCAGTGTAGTAGGACTTGTAGAAGAGGAATTCCTTATCATAATACCAAATTGGAGAAGGTAACTAGGAGAGGGAGGAGAACGTTACTGAAATCCTTTGTGCTTAAACCCAACTAAACCTAACCATAGTCCTCATAGGGCTAGGGAGTGAGACTGGATCTATTATTTCATTGATAATGTGGAGCTCTTAGATGAAGAAACTCCCTTAATCAGTGCAGATTTGTACCATCTCTGCATAGTCTTACTTGCCTGGAGCATTGACAGATTATGTGCCAGGGTCATACAGCCAGTTTGTGTTAGAGATTAGACTTGATTCCAGGTCTTCCTGACTTTCTGACTCTGAGGCCAAGTGTCTATTCATTGTGCCATGCTGCCTCCCTCTCAGACTTTGTTTTCCACTTCTCTAATGTACTTAGTGTATAACATTGTATATTATAGCTATTTGTAGATGTATTATCCCTTTGCTAGACTGTAAGCTCCATGAGGGCATGGAGTGTTTTGGTTTTTTTTAAACTTTGTATCCTTTAGAGCCTAGCATGGTGGTCCACTCAGAGAAAGCACTTAATAAATGCTTGTTGAATTGAATTTTCAAAACAGATTTTGCTAAGAATGTATCTTCTGATGTTTGTGGTTCAAAATTTGCATCTGCATGCTATGATTTCTTAGACATCTGGGCAGAATCATAACATATTCTTCCTTCCTCCAGCTTGTCTATTGTGTTGTTTTTTTGATGTGTGTATTTTTTCCCAGAGAGCCCCTTATGAAACAAGGATCAAAAGGAATCCCCCAACCTTTGGGATTGAACCTTGTCAAAATACACTGTCAGAATGAAGCTGTATATCAGTATCATGTGACTTTCAGGTAACAGCAAATTTTTTCTCTTTTCCTCCTTTTTTTCCCCTTTTGCTCCTTCTGAAACTGATAATAATGTGCAATTCCTCTAATCTCTCTCACGCTTTGAAGTGATATGGGGCAGTCAAATGATAGGCAATCAGAGATTATAGATTTTACTTTAACTCAGCCAATTTTTATCGACTATTTTCCCATTCTTACATCTTAGTAATTAATTAAATTGTTATTAGTTCTCTCAATATGTCTAGCTGTACGGTGAATTTTTTGACTTCCAGTTTCACGTGTGAAACAGTATAAGAAAAATAACTGATGCCTGGATGTGATGTTTTTTGTTTATATTACTCCTTTGCCCTGGATAGGTAGGAGACCAGCTCCAAAGTTATGGAGAAATAGGGTAACAAAAATGTGACCTGTTATATGGCACAGAGGGGAATTAAAGGGAGAGGACCTGTCAGTCTCCTGAGTTATCCCCCTGGGACAAGTATGGGTAACTTTGGGGACCTGCTTTTGGAAAAGAGGGGAAGAATGAAAAATTAGAGACAAGTGGAAGAAATGGAAAGAATCCTGAGATAATTGCTAATGTTGTCAACCTTGTTCTCAAGCTCGGAACATCTTGCTTTACCGTATGCATTTGTGTGTTTGTGTGTGCCTGATGTCACAGTAGTACAGACATTTCTTTTACTCTCTCAGAACTGAAATGATTAATCTCAGGTCAGCATACTGAGGTGCTGCTTCAATATATCACAGAAGATCAATCAAAGCTGGGCACAGCTTGTGTTTTGGGGGAGCTCTGTCCATACCATACCTGGACTTTGGTCAAACCTACAAAAGATTTAGCCACTAAATGGACAGGTACAGGAACCTGGGGCTGGATATGGGTTCCTTTCTGTGGTCTGGTATATTATCTGTTGCAAATACATTGCCACAGTATAAGCACCTTTCCCTGTTTGGCTTAATTGAGCTAGTATTAGTTACTAACCTAACAGTGTAGATTAATAACTTGGGTGGGATGCAAAGGTAGCCTCTTCCTTTAAATAGCTTCCAATGTTATTGGGAGAAATAAGACATGTACGCCCATGGTTCAGTTAAAGAGCAGGTCATTTATAATTCTCATTACTTGGTGCAACACGAGCACAAATCCGCCATCTACTAGAGCTAACAATCCTGAGCCATTTTCATCTCCGTCCAGACATTGAGACGATGGACTACTCAGTCAGCTGATTCATACTATCCAGTGTCTAATTTGGAGCATTCCAACTATTACAAATAATAAACTGCTTCCAATATGTCTGCTACGTACCACCTTCTGCAGAGCTCTTCATTTGTCACATGATCATTTATGATTAAATGCTCAAAAAGTGTGGTAGATACAGAAAGTGTGATGAGAGGTCAAGGGGAAGGGAGACATCAGTGTGCAGTTGTGAGGAAAAGCTTTGTTTAAAAGGGAAGGCTTGATGTGAAAGATATGTAAGATGTGAGTAAGCAGAGAGTGTGTAGGGGAAGGCACACCGAGCCCTTGAATACTAAACAACAAATAAAGATTCAGAAATAGGGATAGACAGATTTAGGGGACAGTGAAAAGGCCAACTGGGTCTGGAACAAAAGATTTCTGTTGAGAGGTGGGGTTGGGGGCAATAAGAGGTAATCTGACCTCACTCATCGAAAACATAAATATCCACCCTCCTTTACCTGACAACAGGAAACTCATTATATCAATATTTATCCAAATTCATTCCCTCAATGAAGATAAGCTTTCTATATCCACAGGAAATAAATATAATGGAGGAGAAATCTCTAAAACATTTTTTTGGGTAGGCACTTTATAATCCAGTAAAGATACTTAGGTCTTACCAGATCACCTGGACATCTCACAACCGTAAGAGTGATTTTCATTGTGTAAAAGTGATTTTCATTAGTAGATCTTTTCTCAGTCTTCAGTATTCAGTTCTCTCTTGCTGATAACAAACATTTTTTCTATATGGCAACTTTTAAAATTGGTGTCCTTGGTGTTCTAATATCAAGAAGCCTGTGCCTGTAAGGTTCTTAACTTGGGGTTAGATAAACAAAATCTATTTTCTTTTCCTCTCACAACCTCCTCCCCCCCTTTTTGGAGGAAAAAAAGGACCTTTGTAGTAAATACAATAAATATACAAGCAGAACAGATTCCCACATTGGCCGTGTCCCAAACAGTGACTCATTTTGCACCCCAACTCTTCTGCCTCATCATCAGTCCTCTGGCATTGTGAATGGTCGTTGTATTGATCAGAGCCTTTCAGAGTTGTTTGTCTTTACAGTGTTGTTTTTGTTGCATAAATTGTTCCCTTGGTTCTGCTCATTTCAGTCTGCAGCAATTCATACAAGTTTCTTTGAAACCGTCCTTTTTGTCATTTCTAATGGCACAAGAATATTCCATTACATTCATGAATCATGATTTGTTAAACCGTTCCAGTAATAGCCATTTTTAAAAACCAGCAAAAGAAAGAAATGAAACATATGTGTATACCACAAAATCTAGCATCAACTGACAGAAAACTATCTAAAGGTGAGAGAATCCATTCAACCCAGGTTCATCTGCTCAATGCCAAATGTTCTGAGTCAGGCTGGGTGTCAGTAGAAACATACCCATGTATGTCCATTGCTGTCACAAAATGAAACCGTGTTAAAATGATTATTCATCTCAAGTAATGCCCATGCCACTGTGTATGTGTTGTCTCCTCCATTGGAATGTAAGCTTCTCAGGGGCATGGACTATTTTCATGTTTGTCTTTTTATTCCTAGCACTTAGCACAGTGACTGGCGCACACATATTATTTGTTGATTGATTGAATTCATGTGTTCCACATGGCCTATTATTGTTGTCCATTAGTCTTGCTGCTTAAGAAACTCATCTCATTGTCTGCTTGTGTATATCTTTAAAGATATCTTATGTATGACTTTTAGGTCCCAATAATATTTCAGCCTGTTTATGCTCATCATATAATCTTTTTATTGGAATACTCACAACTTTAATACTTTGGAGACTGTGGGCTTTCATGATTTGTGACCACAGAGCATTTTCAAAGAAAAACTGGTGTTAGAAAGATAGGCTTTGGGGTTGGTTTGTTTGTTTTTGTTTTTGTTTTGGATTTTTGAGGGGGAAGGATAGGAAAGATGAGGTGCTTTTACTTGAAGAGTGGAAATCTGTAATTGTCAAAGGCACTGCACAGTTTCCTACTGTAATTCAGCCTGCTTTCTTCCTTCTTTTCAGTTCTGGGCTGCATTTATTGTCCATTTTCAGTGTCTGTCCAATACGTATGTAGTAATGGACTAGTTCCATGGGCTATCCATTCAGTTGCATGTCATTGCACAATAACCCTTCTGCATACATTTGATTTTTCCAGTATGGTTAAATTAAATGCTTTTGGGTGATTATGGATCCCATTTTAGGAAAATTACCTACTTTAGCAAATTATGTTAACTGGAAATATTGTGCCTCCTTCCAGTCTCTTTTATGGCTTTATATTTAAATATTTTTATTTTATGTAGTTATAAAAACCATGTAAGCTTTTCAAATTCTGCTTTATTCCTTCTGCATTGTTTTATAGTCTTCCTTTATCATTTTTAGCAGGAAAATAACTATTCCATTTTGGTATATCATTGCAATTTGTTCAGCCATTTTCTAGTTGAATTCAATTAAACATTTATTAAGTGTATGTACTATGTGCCAGCCACTGTGCTAAACACAGGATATAGAAATGAACAGCTCTTGAATTGATGAACTATCCTTGCCCCCAAGGAATTTACATTGTACAAAGGCTCATATAATGTGTACACAGACAATTATAATACAAGGTATATATGATGGGGGCAGAGGAGACTTCTAGACAGAGTGTTCTAAGAAAATTTGAGGAAAGAAAGAATGATTTCATCTGGGAGATCATTGAAAGTTTTCTTTTTGAATAATTGGCATCTGAGATGAACCTTGAAGGAAAAAAAAGATTCCGTTAAGTAGAGATGAGAGAATATATTCCATGCATGAAGGAATTCCTTCATGAATGAACAGAGGCAAGGAATGGCTTGTGGAGTGCAGAAACAGCTAGTATTCCAAACTGGTAGAATTAGTCATTGAAAGAAGGGTGAAAGATAATTGTGAAATAAGGATCTGGAGAGGTAGATTGGAGTTAGATTATAGAGGCTCTTAAATGCCCTGTGAAAGGAATTTTCTTTTTATCCTATTTGTATTAGGTAGCCAGCCATAGGTCCTTTTATTTAGGAGAGTGAACAGGGGGAGAGGTTTTGCTTACTATAGTATCCTTCTACTTTAAAAAGCAAAACAAAATTCTGCCAGGTTACTCTATTTCTTTATGTCTTTGGGTTTTTATACCACAGACATGTCCCAATGTCATCCTCTTATTCCATATAGAGTCTTTCCTTATCACAAAGAAACAAATTAAGCAAAACCGGTCAAAAAACAGAGACCATGTGTGATGGTGTATGCAGCATTTGACACCAGTAATATCCCACTTCTCAAGTGAGATGAGGAAGATGTGTTTCATCATTTGGCTTCTGGAACCAGTATTGGTCATTGCCTTTAATTCAAGTTCAGTGCATTAGTGTGTTTGTATTTCTAAAATAATTCCTATAACACTTTTACTTTTATTATCTTTGCCAATTTGATGGCTGTGAAATGAAACCTCAGTTTTTTTAATATGCATCTATTAATATTAATAATATTTCTCATAATATTGAGTATTTTTATGTTTTACAGCTCTTATTTTGAAAAACCTTCATATCCTTTTAACACTTACTGGGGAAAGTCTCTTAATATTTATTAGTTACCTCCATATCCAATATTTATTCGAGATGTTTGATGCAATGATTTTTTTCCCATTTGATTCCTATTTGATTTTTCCCAAATGATTTCCCCTTTGATAGTTTTTCTCATTTTAGTTGCATTGATCTTGTTCATGCAAAAGCTTTTAAATTTTATATGATTTCAGTTGTACTGCCTTGCATCTTTCCCACTCCCACCCTGATTTGCAGTTCCCCTTCTCTCAGCCTTCCTGGATATTAAGTTTTAATCCATATTTATGCATTCTGTCACCATGGTTCCCATCCATCAGGTGCTACAAACAAAATTTGTGAAACCCAGACTTGCTAGCCTTGTCAGTTTCTTTTATTTGGAGCTCTTAAGCAGAGGAATAGTGTGATAAACAATAATTGTGCAGTATAAGTTGGAGGAAGGACATACAGGATGTAAGGACTCACTGAGGAGACGGTTGTAGCAGTTCTCAAAGTGATAAGGGCCTCAGTGAAGACACTGTGAATTCTGAAGGAATAAATTTGGGACAAGGGAAATTGTTGAGGCTTGATGATTGATTAAGAGAAGTCAAAGATGACTTCCAAGATTCTAAGTCTGGATGAGTAGATACAATCTGAAGACTGCGGGGCTTGTAAGTCAGGTTTGCATTCCTCTCTCTGCTGCCCTTCTGACTCTCCAGACTTTCTCTACCAGGTCATAGAAACCTCTTCACTCTGGAGTTCTCCCATTGGAAGAACCCCCTGGGACCTTGATGTTCTGCCTCTGATTGGCTAGTTCCTTCCAGAACTACCATTTTAAGGAGGGTGTCCAAGCCAATCTTCATTTTTTCTTCAGGCTACTGTCCTGACCCTTGGAGCTTTTTCTAGTTGCTAGGTCATCAAAATTACCTTCTCAAAGACCAAGCCTTAAACCCAGTTCACTCTGGAGCTCATAGGTTGGACAACAAAAGGTCCTTGACCAAGCGCCACTTAATGGTTATTTTTTGGGCCCTCCTGGCTCTGAGTGAATATAAATAATAGCTTTCTCTTTTAGCCAGCAAAATTTTAATCCATACTTTCCCTCCAGTTTGATTTTTTTAGTTAAAGGGGCCATCCCTTGACTCTCTTCTTAAAGAGGCCTATTCACTGAATGGGCATTAGCTCACTCAAAGTGAAAACCTGAAAAGACCTTAGCTTGAAAAGGCCAGGGTCTCCCACTGCATCATGGGCCATCTCCAGTCACCCTGATGAATATCTGGCCAATGGACCCGGATGGCTCTGGAGGAGAAAGTAAGACTGGTGACCTTGCACAGGGCTCTTTCACTCAAAACAAAGTCAATTGCAAGTCACATCATCATCTCCCTGATGTCATGGTCCTCTTCCAGATGAAGGACAAACACAACAGCAACTTGCTGGGTGCTTTCATCTCTTTTCTCCCCCCATCTCCTTCATGTGTTGTCTTCCCACGTTAGAATGTAAATTCCTTGAGGTTGGGGACAGGGTCTGCCTTTCTCCTCGGATTTATTTACATTGCCAGCATTTAGCACAGTGCCTGACACATAGTGAGCACTTAATAAACTAGGATGATCAGTAATATTACGTAAAAGTATTTTTATCAAGGTTATCTTCTAAGAAGAATCTTTGTCAAATACTCTCTACAGGCATAGGGGTGGGACTGGAGATTGCTAGAGAGGAACAGTAAGTTTGGGAGCCCGGTCTTTCCTTCTGTCAGAAACTTGATGGATTCATGAGCATAAATGAAAAGATTAGGTTTAAAGAATGGGAGGAGCATCTTGTCCTGCAAGACAAGAAGGAAGGATTAAAGAATTGATGTAGCGCAGATTGAGTAGAAAAAAAATATGGCAAGGGCACTTAAACCAAAACGACCTGGATCTCTGTAAAGTAAAAGATAAATTCATCTGAGAATAAAGATTGGAAAGAATCAGAAAGCATTTGGAAATTTAAGAATAAATACTCATAACAGCAGCCACAGTGAGTATACTAGGAACTCAAGAAGAGAATAATAGAATTGCTGAGTATCTCTTTATAGTGGACTTATGAACTTGGTTGGGATACAAGACACTTTGTATATGCATTTTTTGGAGGGAAGTGACTTTTAGCCCCTTGATATAATCCTTCTGGTACATGAGATTTCAGTGTTGGGAAAAATCTGTTGAAGTTACCGGCTTTGAATTTCCTTTAGGATCTTACCTTCATATCCTTCAACGTGCTCCCTTTTTCAGCTTGGGATACTGGCAGGCCCATAGAATGCCCACCTTCTGCGTTCATAAGTCTAGAGCCTCAGAGGCCATCCAGTCTAGCCCCCTCATTTTGCAGATGAGGAAAATGAGGCTCTGGGAGGTTGTGACTTGTCCAAGGCCAGGCAGGTAGAAAGTATCAGAGGTGAGATATATTCTTTCCTTGTGTAATGCTGCCTTTCTTGTAGTATCCAGGGTGTAATCAAAGTTATTACATGCAATACTTTTGGTCCTAGAATTAAAAGAACCCCATAGCTATCTGCCTGGATTATTACAATAGCTTGTAATTCATCCTTCATACAACTGCCAGGTCATTCCTTCTTTGACACAGATCTAGTTATGTTATTCCTACACAAAAATCTTCAGTGGCTCCTCCTGCTTAAAGGACAGAATTCAAACACTTTAGCCTGACATTCAAGGATCTTCAAGTCCTGGGGCTTCCTTACTTTCTAGGCTCATCTTTCTCTCCTCCCTTTCACGAACTCTGTGCTTCAACCACACTGAACTACTTGTCATATTCACCCTTGTGCCTTTGTTCACACCATTCCCTATGCCTGGAATGCTTTTCCCCTCTTCCTCCAACTGTTTTTGAAATTCTACTCATTTGTCTTAAAACCCAGTTCAAATGCTGCCTCTTTCCTAAAATCGTCACTGATCTCCCTCATCAGAAATAAATCTCCCTTCTCTAGGCCTTACATAGCACTCTATACCATATTCTATTTTGCATTAGAGTATGTTTTATTATATTTCACATAAATAATAAATATGGCCTGCTGTCTCTTTGCTGTCATATTTCATTCCGTTTTTGTTCCCCCAAAGCCCACTTTTAAATTGGAAGGTACATTAGGGCAAGGATGGTTCTGAGGATGGGGCTGAAATTGTCATCTAGTTAAGAAGTGCTTCTCTTTGTCCTACTCTGTGACTCATCTCTTTGATTCTTCTCTTGCAACCTTGTCTTGTCCTTCTCTGACCACAGCCAATGGGAACATTGGCCTTCTGGCTTCCAGTCTCCCCCTCCACGTGGCTGCCACAGTAATCTGCTTAAAGCATTTGTCTGGCCCTGTCACTCTTGTTCAAGAATCTTCAGTGGGTCCCGACTGGCTTTTCATAGTTGACTCTAGCATACTTTTCTAGGTAAATTTCATATTACTCGTCTTCTCATGTTCCCTTTCGCTCCAGACTGGCTGACTTGTGGTTCTGTGAACTTGATAGTCCGTATTCAGTCTCCTTGCTGTTCCCCATTCCTTAAATATATTCTCTTCTTCCTAATATTTCATAGAATCCCTACCTTCCTTTAAGGTTCACCTCTGGTGTCACCCTATGGAATGCATTTCCTAACCCCCATAGTTGTAGTACCATCCTTGCAATTTTGCAAAGGCAATCCAGTCCAGTCTCTTCTTGTTCAACGGCAGACTCAACTCGTTGGATGACTGTCCTTTCATTCCCCCAGACTTGCATCATAGGTGTCATCTTGATTCTTCACTGTCTTTCATACCACTCTCTCCTCCTTCACCACCCCCCATCCAATCTGTAACCAAGGCCTGTCGATTTTACCTTTGTAGTATCTCTCAAACATGCCACCTCTCTGCTCCGATATTGCCACCACCCTGGTATTGGTCCTCATTTCCTTACATCTAGACTATTGGAATAGCCTGCTGTTTGGTCCCCACTGTCACAAATCTCTCCTTACTCTAGTCCATCTTCTGTTCAGCTATTAAAGGTGATTTTCCTAAAATCCTAAAATTTTCCAATCCACGTCACTGCCCTATTCGATAAACTGTAATCAGTGGCTCCCTATCACCTCCAGGATGAAATACAGAATCATCTGTTTGACATTCAGTGACCTGGCTCCTGCCTATCTTTCCAGTCTTTTTACATCTTCCCCACCCCTAAACACTACCATCACATAGTCTTCCATCCAACAACACCAGACTCTTGCTGTTGTGCAAACAAGACATCTCCATCTGTCAGCTCTGGGCATTTTCTTTCACTGTGCCACCATGCCTAGAATTCTCTCCTCATCTCTACCTTTTGGCTTCCTTAGCTTTCTTCAAGTCCTAGCTAAACTCCCACCTTCTGTAAGAAGTTTTTCCCAGTTTCTCTTAACTCTAGTGCTTTCCCTCTATTGGTTTCCTAGTTAACCTGCATATGGCTTGTTTGCACATAGTTGTCAGCAAATTGTCTCCCTGTTAGATTGTACGCTTGAGAGCAAGGACTGTCTTTGCCTTTCTTGGAATCCTTGCAAGTGCTTGGCACATAGTAGGTGCTTAATAAATGCCTATTGACTGACTTACTATTCTCCCATATTACTTTGTTTTATACATACACACACACACGCGCACACACACACACACACACACACACATATACATATAGTATTTGCTTTTCTGAGTATATGTTGTACTTTACCATCTCCTTGAGAGAAGGAACTGTTGGTTTTTTCTTTCAGTTTTTTATCCTTCAAGATACTTGATACAATATCTTACACTAGGAGGCACTTAAGTAAATGTTTATGGAATTAATTGTTTTAATTATCTTTGTATCTAACCCAGTGTTGGGCTTCACACATAGCTAAATGAATATCATTTGCTTGGTTTCTAATTTTCTTATGTAATTATGAATCTCACACTAAAGTTTATCACAGCTTTGTCATGAAGGTGGTTCAGACTTTTGTGTAGCCACTAGATGGGGCAGCAGTTATGAACATAACTGCTTCTTACTAGTGATAATGTAAGAATGCTGCTTTGTTCACTCGTGCTGAATTTGAACCTTTTGCTTGATTCCTAGCCCCAGTGTGGAATGCAAGAGTATGAGGTTTGGCATGTTGAAGGACCATCGATCTGTCACTGGAGATGTCACTGCTTTTGATGGATCCATCCTCTATCTGCCCATTAGACTTCAGCAAGTGAGACGTAGAGGCATTGTTCTTTAAATGGCAACCTAGGCATGATCATGTGGTTTGAATGATGGGAAAACCTGTAGTCTTTAAATATTTTATTTGTAAATTCTAAATAATTTTCGAGAAGGCTTTTACATGGAATAGATTAGAAGTTCTTGCATATGCAAGTACTTGCATGAATAGTAACTCCAGATGTACCTTCTTGTTCTAGAAAAGTGGTTGAAAATTTTTTCATCCAGGAATTGAGATTTATTTTGAATCCCTAACCCTAACATACTCCTGCTTTGGGAATATGGGTAATTTTTAAATGAACTCTCTTGGAGCTTAAGAATTTTTCAGATCCAATTATGATTTTGCCTAGTAGTGTTTGCCAAAATTCGAGTGTAAGACACAATTGCAATATGTTAAGGCTTGGGAACTTGCCATTTGTAATTTTCATTCGAGTTTTGTTTCTTGTTAGGCTGTTGAGTTGAAGAGTCAGAGGAAGACTGATGGTACTGAGATCAGCATCAAAATTCAAATGACCAAGATTTTGGAACCCAGCTCTGACTTGTGTATTCCTTTCTACAACGTTGTTTTCCGACGGTGAGAACCAGTTGGGGATAAAGTAGTACTCATTCTCCTAGAAGTATTAGGCTACCTGGACACTTTTGTTCTTTTAATTTATTTGTCTTCATTCTCCAATTTCAAGTTAATACTAATGTTCTTGAGGAGGATAGTTAGCATTACCTACAACCTGAGCTTAATTTAAAGTTTTAAACAATTAGAAAAGATAACACTGATTCTCTTAGTTAAGATTGTATTCTCAAGAAGCCCAATAAGGAGAGTTGGGTCTGTGAAAACAAGTTTTGGATTAGTTAAGGAAACATGGGTCTTTTGGGTTCCAGTAGGGACTCTTGAAATTAATATACATAAAACACCACATACACATATACATGACTCCCCGTGGAAATGGTATATAGAAATATCTGCCAAAATATTTCTCCTTAATTGTATTAATTTTTCCTGCAGATTTAAAAAAAATTTATTTTTATTGATATCCTTTATGAATGTATCCATTCTCTTCCCCTATCCATCAATGTATCCCTTGCAAAGATTTTTAAAAGGTTGGGGGGAAGTAATTCAGCCTATCATCTATGCCTTACACTATATTTTTTGGAGATTTTTAATGACTGCTCTTATTTGCTTTCTCTTCATTTTAAGAATGTATTTAAGGAGGGGAGCTAGGTGGTGAAGTGGATAGAGCACCGGCCCTGGTATCAGGAGGAGCTGAGTTCAAATCTGGCCTCAGACCAAACACTTGACACTTACTAGCTGTGTGACCCTGGGCAAGTCACTTAACCCTAATTGCCTCGACAAAAAAAAAAACGTATGTAACTTTCATAAGGCCATCCTACTGATATACAGCCTTTCTTCAGTTTGCTAGAATACCATTTCCATTTTCTTTTTGGGAAATGGGAAATTTTTTTCCTTTGTCAAGGAAAAAGGACTGATGGATTAATCACCTCAAAAGTGAATGCTCTTCCATTCTTTTCTAGTAATGATAGACAGTTATATTCCACAAAGTAGGGAAGTAGATTGAATTTTTTATGGCAAAGTACTAGCAATGAGGTTGCAACAAAATGTATGTCTCATTTTATTATGGCAAATTATTAGCCATGAAGTTACACCAAATATATATAATGTGGGTAATAAGTTATACCAAACATATATATAAAGTTAATTAGTTTTGTTGAACTGTTTTTTTCCTCTTTTAAAATCTTTATTATAAAGGATGGCGTCCTAGATAAGGGAATGGGGAAGGTTCTCAATAAAAATAAGATTTTATACATACACACAGACACATACATATGTAAGTGTGTTTGTGTATGTGTGTATGTGTGTGTACACACACTTCTGCCTCAAGATGAGTATATGAGTAACTTTCATTTATCTTTTGGAAGTCTGTTTCAGCTGTATAAAAGTTATTACTTACAGGACAAAGGAAGACCTGTTAGACTTGGAAATTAATTGTTCTCTGACAGAACACTTATCCTGGGGTTTTCTTTTGGCAGGGTAATGAAACTTTTAGATATGAAACGTGTAGGAAGAAATTTCTATGATCCTTCAAGTGCTATGATACTACAACAACATAGGTTGGTAACATATTTCTCATTTTTTGAGTGTTCTTCACAGATTCAGACTTTAGAATATTATAGTTTGTTGGTATAAAAACAGAATGAATAATGGAATGATATGATAAAAATTTATAAAATCTAATCAAATGCTTTCCTTTCAAATTTTTAAAGTAAAATCAAACAGGTATTAGATTTGACTCTGTTAATTACCAAATTCCATTGTATTGTTACAAGGGAACAGTAATCTCTGTCTAGTATCATTGTTTTAAATGTGAGGATAAAATCTTTTTCCAAGATACCTGGATTAAAGAGCACTTCTTTTGAGTTTTTTTTTGTTTTTTGTTTTTTTTTTCTCATTTAAGGTTGCAAATCTGGCCAGGCTATGCAGCTAGCATCAGACGGACAGATGGAGGACTATTCCTTCTGGCTGATGTCTCTCACAAAGTTATTCGAAATGACTCAGTGTTGGATGTCATGTGAGTGAATGAGATGGTGGGACTGAGAATTTAGCAGTTAAGAATTATTAACCCCAGTATTGTAATGGTGGTGAAGATAGAAGCCAGATGGCAAGGGGTAAAGGAATGGATTAGTAGGATGATATGGAGAAGCAGATAATGATGGAATAAAAGTTACTCTTTTCAGTTTGGCAGTGCTTGAATAAAAGTCTGATAGTCCAAGAATTATAAAGAATTCACACACATATCTATTGTAGTCTAAGACTGAGAACCATTCCCTGATAAGTCATCAAAGGACATAAACAGTTTTCAAAAGAAGGATTGTAAACCAGCAACAGTCATGTGAAAAAATATTCCAAAATAATGAAAGAAAAATGCATTAAATTAACTGAGCTTTCATTTCATACCCATCAAAGTGACAGAAGTGATTAAAAAAAAAGAAATAGTATTGGGACTGTTTGGGAAGATAGGCATACTGAGGCACTATTGGAGTTGGGAATTGATCCCAACCATTTTGGAAAATTATTTGGAATTATAAGAAAGAAGTTACTAAATTATTCAGATACTTTGATCTATTGATGCTTCTATTGGGCTGTCAAGGAGGTCAAAGACGAGGGGAAAAAAAAGTTTCCCTATATCAAAATATTTCAAGCAATACTTGTTATGGTAGCAAGATATTAGAAAGAAAGCAGGTGACCATTGATGGTGAATGGCTGAAGAAACTGGTGTGTGAATAGAAAATTACTGAACTGTAAAAAGTTACAAATATGAGGAATTCAAAGAAACATGGGAAGACATAGGAACTAATGCAAAGTACAGTAATCTAAACTAGGAGAATTATATGCAGTGACTACAGCAGTGTAAATGAGAACAACACTGAAAGGCAGCTGAACTCAAATGAGCAATATTGGTCCCAGAGGAATGCAACCTATTCATCCCTTCTTACCAAAGAGGTGGAGGACTGATGGTGTCAAATGTTGCTTGTGCACTATCAGTTGGTTTTGCTTAAGTATCTTTATGACAATGGAGTGATTTCTGTTGGAGGAGGGACAATATTGGGAATTATCTGGTGTAAACAAGCACCAATAAAACTTTTTAAAAAGAAAAGAACAGAAGTTTCCTAATGAAAGAGAGTTAGTACTCAAGGAATTAACGGGGTAAGGGAAAAGGGTTTTGTTGTTGTCTTGGTTTGTTTTTGTTTTTGTTTTTGTTTTTTCAAAGATAGGAGACTTGAACATTTTTAAAGTTAGGGTAAAGAGCAATTGGAGTGAGACAATAATCTGTTTCCTCAGGGCTTATCATAGTGCCTAGCATTCGGTAGGTGCTTAATAAATGCTTGTTGACTTACCTAAAGATTAGCTTTATTATGAAGGAACGTGTCTTCTGTTGAGGCAGGAGAGGATGGGTAAAGAGAAGTTTTGAGGTATGGAAAGATTTGAGTTTATTTTGTTGGCTGCCCTTGGTTTTTCAGTGAAGTGGGAGTTTTCATTTGAATAAGATAGGCTTTTGAGATGTGGGCTTGGAATAGTCTCTGGGGAATCTGATGAGTTAATAAAGGAGGTATAAAAAGGTTGTTAAGCAAAAGTTTATCTGAGATCATAGAGCATGAATTTGTAATGGCCTTAGTGGGGAATAGTTTCATGACTTGTAGAGCCTTTAACAGCCAGTTAGGTGTTGGAAGAGAGGGGTTATCCAGAATTGGAGATCAGTAAAGCAAGTGTGGTAGAATTTCAGAGGGGTAAAGGGATTCTAGGGTGCTAATGAAACTATAGTTAAAAGGTGTGATGGCACAGATTCACTAATTCCACTGGTCTTGGTTCTAGGTATCAATCAACAAGCATTTATTTGGCACCTGCTACGAGTCTGGCACAGTGCTAAGCCCTCTGGATACAAAGACAAAAGTAAAAGTCTTTTCTTTTAAGGAGTTCACATTTTAATGGGAAAAAAAATGTGTATATGTATGTATGTTTACCTAAGACGTACATAAATCAAAGTAGCCTTAGAGGAGAAGGCAATAATAGCTTATGGAAACAGGAAATGTCTTCCACAGCAGGTGAAAGGAAACTAAAAGGAAACCAGGGATTCCAGGAGGTAGAAGTGTGGAGGAAGAGCATTCTAGGTATGAAGGATGACCAATACAAATGCCTGCAGGTGGGAGATGGCGCATCCTATGTGAGGAACAGTATGGCTGGATTGTGGAGAGTATCTGCTCATCTCTTGCAGCTTGCTTTGACTCACTTAAATTGAAAACTCTGTGAGGAGGAGCTGTTACCAACTAAAGGAATGCCTGTTGTAGCTGTGAAGTGATTTGGAGGACAGGATATGGGTATACTGGGAGGGGGTGGGGGGAATGGGGAAAGATAGAATTTTCCCAAGGTATATGCCCTGTTGCTGGTGAGGGTACCCTGAGCAAAGTTAAAATTTCCCTGAGGGGCCCACTTTGGAGCAGGAGGGAGAAATCTAGGGGAGTGAGCAGAGTGGTGGAGGTTTAGATGACAGTGAGTGAAAGTATGGTTGCCTTGGAGACAAGCCCCATGATTGGCTTTTGAGGGAAGGCTGGGATGTGACTTCTCTTCCCACCTTCTGATTAGTTCACAGCTCCCCACACTGCCCCTCAACACTTCCAACCTTGGAAACCAATTCATTAATCCACAGACATTTATTAAGCACCTACTTAGGCCAAGTATTGTGTTTATCTCTGGTGATACAAGACAGAAGTGAAGTCCCTGATCTCAGGGTGCTTATAATCTAAAGGGAGGCAACATGGAAACAATTGTATACAGACTACATAAATAAATGCAGGGTAAATTAAAGATAAGCAATAGAGGGGAGTCATTAGCATTCAGGGGAATACAGAAAGCTTTCTTGTAGAAGGTGAAATTTTACCTGGGAAGGAAATGAGGAGGCAGAAAAGAGGAATGAGGAAGAAGAGCATTCCAGGCTTGGTTAGTAGGGGAGTGGTGCAGCCGGTGAAGAGGTGGCATGGAGCACAAAGGGCAGGGTCATTGGTTGGAAGAGTCCATAGGGTGATGAGTAAAGTATAAGAAGCCTGGAAAGGAAAGAGGGGACCAAGTTAAGGAGAGCTATGAGTGCTACTAGGAACAGTAGTGGAAAGCAGAGACTGGGACTGGAACAGCTCTGCCCCTGGGATTCATAGCACAGGGAATGAAGATGAGAAAAGATGGAAGCTTTTCTTAGTCCTGATGACCTCATTCTTGGTTATGACTTCCAACCCCTCCTGGAGAAGCTGGTGCTATGACATCCCTCTCCAACTCTGACTCTTAGTGCTGAGCCATCAGAGCTTCTCCTCTTTACCCAGACCTGTTTCTCACCTAGTCCAGCAAGTATCAGGGTGTGCAAAGGGCAGACATTACACTAACAACAGAAGGTGGAGGGGAGAAAGATCCGAGAATGCTTCCTGGAGGAAGTGATAGCTGAAAAGAGCCTTGAAGGACATAAAGGATTCTAGAAGGTGGAGCTGAGCAAGGAGTTCACATTTTGCTTGGGATGTCAGATGCATGCAGGAAAATAATGTGAAGTTAAGTTGGAAAGGTAGGTTTAAGCCAGATAGTGGTAGACAGCTGCCACATACAGTTTTAATATACATATATTCTAAAACCTCTTAATATCTTTGGAAGCCAACACATCCCTTCTGTAATTGGCGACTCACTTGCAACACATTGTAGGCTTCTTTATTTTAGATAATCTGTCTGTTTGAAAAAAGCTTTATTTTCTCTATAATATCTACTTCTTTATTTTGCAGTTATTCATATATTATGTCTTTTTGAGCACTTTATCATTTGGATTATCATTACATGATGCGTCCTTCTGAAGAAATGTTCTTTTTTTTTTAAGGTCCCAGATTTCCTGTAGGTTATTTACTTGTAGTACCTTAAAAAAAAATTAACGATCTCAACAAATAAAAACAAAATAAGGAATAAAATCACAAATAAAACCTGACCTCTTTTCAGAACCAGATAATCTCAGACTTGAAATGAACCAGAGAGGCCATATAACCACAAGGATCTTCTCTACAAGATCTCCAGCAAGTGTTTTTTCAGCTTTTCTTTACAGAGAGACCTGTAGTTAGTAGATCACACTACCTCCTGAGACAGCCTGTTGTGAGCATGAACCACAGTTGGAAGAAAGTTTTTCCTTCTATCAATCCTAAGTCTGCCTCTCTGCAGCTTCTACTCATTGTCCTTAATTATTTTGCCTTTGTACAAATCCAAGTACAATAAGTCTGATCCTTTTTCTCTACCAGATTCACTACCCCTTACACCAACTTAGTCTAACAGCCCTTCAGGTACTTGAAGACAGCTCTCATGTCCTCACCAGAGTTTTCTCTTCTCCAGGCTAATTATTCTGTCTGTCATTTCATGCTGTTTACTCATTGAGCTTACAATCCATGAAAACTCCCTAAGTCCTTTATCTAGTCACATCTTCCCCAGTCTGTACTTTTACAGTTGCTTTTATTTTTTTAACCCAAGTATAGAACTGTATGTTTCATCTTGGTAGTTTGGTCCTTCATTTTAGCTTAGTGAGATCTTCTTTGAGTCTGTCACCCATTTTTACTTATCTCTTTTAGCTTTGGTGCCATCTCCAGATTCCATATGAATGCCTTCTAAGACATTGGTAAATGCCCTGTGGCGGGGTCTGGACAGATCCCTAATTACATTACACATTACACTGGACAGCTCTTTCCAAGTTTTACATGAATCCAATAATGACTACTCTTTGGATTTGGTCATTCAGTCAATTCTGAATTTGTCCAACTATAGTTTCTTCAGCCTGCATCTCTTGCTTTCCCTTCCCCTCCTCCTTGTCTTTCTGTTCCCCCTCTTTCCTGGCCTCCTTTCACTCCTTCCTCTCTCTCCTTTGCATATAAGGTGAGAGACTTTGTTAAATGCTTTCCTGAAGTCCAAGTATACTATATCCATGATATCCTCCTGATTTACTCAAATGCATGTTTAGTTTCACACATATGGATGTTCCCTCCAATGCGGATCAAGCCCATCCTG